ACGGCACTGAGTTCGCACTTAAGTTTGTGTTCCGTCGGTATAGGAAGCCTAGATTAAAGAGAGAGAGAGAGAGAGCAACTGCTCGATGGGGGTCACGGGGTGTGTGGGCCGCGTTTTCAAAATAAGTCAAAGGACTTACTAAAATGTATTCAAGCATCATCTTATCAAAACTGTTTACCCAATCACTTGAACAACAGATACTACCTAGAGACTGGAAAGTGGGGAGGGTGATTCCTCTCCACAAAGGCGGTGATAAACATAATCCTTTGAATTTCCGTCCGATCTCCTTAACAAGCATCCCATGCAAAATACTTGAGCACGTAATATATTCCAATCTTATTAACTTTCTGGACTCGAACTCTTTTTTTCACCCAGCACAGCATGGTTTTCGAAAATTCTATTCATGTGAAACACAACTCCTAACTTTTACCCATGACCTTCACGTCGTTCTCGACCGGGGTTCCAGGACAGATTGCATATTCCTTGACTTCTCCAAAGCCTTCGATAAAGTACCCCATGTACTCCTTCTCCATAAACTTCGTAACTTAAACATAGATAACAACATACTCAATTGGATAGAATCGTTCTTAACAAATCGTTTTCAATTTGTTTGCGCCAACGGAACTAACTCATCATTATCAAGTGTTAACTCTGGTGTTCCTCAAGGTTCTGTGCTCGGTCCACTACTATTTCTTATTTATATTAACGATCTTCCTACGCGTGTTTCCTCTTCCATCAGCTTGTACGCTGACGACTGTGTCATTTATAAAGAAATTATTAACGATTCTGACATTTCTGTTCTTCAAACTGATATAAACAACGTCACACAATGGTGCTCAGAATGGCATATGGAACTCAACACATCTAAATGTAGATCTATGAGAGTGTCCAGGCATAATAACACTTGTCCATCCTACAACATCATTAACTCCCCCCTACTTTCTGTTACTTCCTATAAATATCTTGGTGTGCATCTAACCAATGACCTTTCCTGGAATTTACATGTCGAATATGTCACTAATAGCGCTAATCGCTTACTAGGTTACCTCAAAAGAAACCTTTCGCTTACTCCTGTTTCATTAAAGCTTCTAATCTATAAGACTTTAGTCCGTACTAAACTGGAATATGCAGCCTCTATCTGGGACCCCGGTATCACCCTTTCATCCGCTGTTGAGTCCATACAAAATCGTTCCGCTCGTTTCATCCTCTCGAACTATCATCGCACATCCAGCGTCACATCTATGAAAGCATCCCTGTCCTTGCCTAACCTCTCTCTTCGCAGGAAAATATCCCGGCTTTGTCTTTTTCAGAAGATTTTTCACTCTAATCCAACACTTCGTCAAACATTATTCTTAGAACCATCTTACATTTCGCTACGAACTAATCACCATCTAAAAGTGGGCGTCCCCCAGTGTAACACCTCATCTTTCAATGCCTCCTTTCTCCCTCAGACCTCAATAGATTGGAATCGCCTTCCTGCACCCATAGTCTCGATAACTGATGCTACTGATTTTAAAATTGCCATTACTAAGTTTTTTGATGTTCAATAACTTTTGTTTTATGTCTTGCCTTATGTATCGTTATACCCATATGTTTCCGTTTAAAAAAAAAAACCCACTCCTCTCTGTAATGCCTTCGGGCCCTGAGAGAACAATAAATGAAAATGAAAAAAAAAATGAATGAAAACTCAAAAGCGTTTACCTTCTGCAAACGTCTCCGCCTCTCCGCCCAGTTTCCTCGCTACACTTTCCATGCGACAACCAAATGCAGGCACACTTGCCCAGGAGGTGTCTGCCATTAAATTGCAAATGCTCTCAATGGTTCGAGCTGCTCCCTCTCTTAAATCTAGGCTCTCTCCAACTTCTCCGCAGGCAATGCGGAAAACTCACTTCCCAGATAAAGAGCGGGGAGCAGACGACAACGCAGAGGCTGCAGTCGGCGACCTTTGCAGTATTGTCTACAGCCTGTTCTTGGTGGCTGCTCTGCCGTAACAGCAAAGTACAGCGGTCTGAGACTTAATGAACTTTCAAAATTTTTTTTTGGCCACATCTGGTTTCAAGCAAACGGCACGTGCCGCACGCCATTTGCTTGAAACCACTTTCTGTGGCTTTGAAGCCAGTGCATTGTCCGATATAATGAGAGGCTATGGTCGAAGCTTTTGACATCTGTGTACTCGCGCAGCTTTACCGCGGCTCAAATTTGCACATGTGCACTCTTCGCTTTTCTGAAATGACATGGGATGTGACCATAGCACATCAAATCAAGATTCTAATATTTGATTGGTAGCAGATGGTTAGAAGGGGACAATGTGGGAAGACAGGCTGCGTGCAATTGATCCCTGCTCAATTCGATGCGCTACGATCGCATTCATGTAAATGCTGCCATAGAAAGCAAGATAAATTGGAGCCTTGGGTCACTCTAATTGGATAGCTTGCTGCCATTTCTCGCTGCTTCTGTTTTGAGAGCGAAAGGGAGGCCCACTATGTTGAGGCATTGCGCATTGTCACGGCATCACTTCATCAAACATGCATCGTCTCAGACCGTTGTACAGACAAGCCTGTGAACAACTTTGTCTTCTTCAACGGTACATTATCACACTCGCATGGCGCCCACTCACTAATTTGGCCCGAGCCCAGCATGGAGCGTCTTCAACACGTTGGCTGGACACGACTTCCAGCGGAACGTTGATGCTGCGCTCGATCTCATTGTGATGACATCAAGACTCTATTGCACAGGCTTTGATTGTTTTAGGTTGGTTTATTCAAGCCCATTCTTTAGACTGCAAGAGAATCTTGCAGTTCTCTGGCAAAACCAATCTTTCCCGCCGTCTGGCGTCAAGGTATACGGCGCGTGCCAAGCTCCATTCACTTGGCGCAAATGTGGCACAACTTTCCTTGTCTAAGACACCAATGCTACAGGCACCTGTGCAGTCGCACAGCTTTGAGCGTTGCTCAAGGCTTTACATGCACATTCTTCACTTCTTCAGAAATGCCCCACTCCTCTGTATGCTCGCTCATGTTGCATGCGAACAATAAATGCGAAATAAAAATAAGAATTACAAAAAAGCCAAATAGGAACCATTGTGAGCGCTTTGATAAAATGCTAAATGTGGTGGACTATGCTTTTTTTTACGCTTTATGAACATTGGTGAGCGGATGCTGAAAGATGCTTGATCATTGTTTCTATGTGTACAAAATCACAGTCCAGGCTGCTACGATTTTTAGCTGTTAAAAAAGGTGAGAAAAGCCCCCGCCTCATGCACAAACACTGAGAATTGCACCAGTCAGAAGCTTTTTGATTACAAGATGCTGGGCTGTGAAGATTGCACTGCTCAGCATTCGACCTTCACAGTTTAGCACGCACATGTTTGTCGATTCCGAAAGCGAGCAAAGCATGCGCCGTATATACAAACGCTGAAAATGACACCACGGTCAAAAGCCATTTTTATTTACGACAGTGACTCGTGCATAATCTGACGCTAGTCATCACAGGCTCACATCTAAAGGCTGAACACAGTGGAGGAAAGATTGACAGCAAAATTCACGCTGCAAAAATCTATTGCAACACGCGGCTGCGTATTCATCGGAAACCAAATTCTATGCGACAAACAAGCGATGAACGCCACCAAAGCCAATACATGGTGTCAAGGGGTCAGTTGTGTTAGCAACTTCATCTGCATTCAAATGACGCACTTGCAAACCCTAAAAACTCTAGCGCAAACCAACGCGCAACAATATCAGGAAATATGGTGTTCACAGAGTATGTTTGAATGGTTCGAACGTGGTGCCAACTTCGGAGCCAGTCGGAGATCGGAGCCATTCTTTTTTTTACTACAATGCTCATTCTCCGCTCCAGCCGTTGGCTCCTGCCGGTTGTGGCGGATGCTGGGGGAAGAAAATCTAGCTCTCCTAGATCGGTGGCCCGAGCTCACCCCGAGCGCTTGACCTGCATGCGCAGCTGCGAGCTTGCAACTCGTATGTTCCAGAAAAATTCTGTGCCATCTATGAGGAAAAGGCTACAAATAAATCATGGCTGAATCCCCCTTAATTAGGGGAACTTACATTGAACACGTTGCCTAGAGGCTTAGCAGTCTTTGCGCGGAGACTGGGGCCTGGTTTCATCCGTGTAATTAACACTTTTGTGTTGGTTGTTATTCATAACTAGCACTTGGTTGTTACCTGGACATAAACTTGGAGTGACTTTGTTAGTCAATTTCGCTTTGATACTTCTTTATTTAACAACCAGAGGAGTTGGTGCTTTTACCGCCATGTTAATTGTGGTTGACAGACGAAAAGAGCATAGGAGGCCCGACCATTACTTGGTGGTTGAAGCGTAGAAGCAACATACCTTTGCTTACAAGATTTTATTATGCACAAGACAATGAACTCTGCTATGGTTCTTTTGATGCTATAAATTTATAAATATGTCTGCAGAGAGCTGTGTTCATGCATGAATATAAACAAAAAGCAAAAGAACTCTTATATGCTTCGAAGATAATATTGAAGGTAATAAGAATAAGAATAATAATCTCTATTTTGAGAAGCTCTACTTATAATGCGGGCTTGTGGTTTAAGGTGACAGGCACTGGTTGCTACGTTCTAGTCCTCTTGTCTATGTCTGTACAGGGTAATGTTTCAAGATCTCTTGAAAATATCAGAATCGCTGAAACTACAAATGTTGTTACAAATACCTGAAAATTAAAACAAGTCAAACAGCCATTGATATTTCTGTTTTTCGGTGCATGTTTTTTAACCTGCGTTCATGACTTCATGCCTAGATTTCCATGTGCTGTGAATATTTCATTTACTTGTGTAAGTTGGCGAGCGAGCCTGCGACGACAGCTTCCTGTTGTAGCCACTGGGTACCATCGATTTTGCAACGTTTTGAAAAGTACTTTGCAAAGCGCTACAACATTATTTGTCATTTGTGCATGCGTTGTTCCAAGAAGAGCATTGTTGAGCTTAACTGTGTAATGCTCTCGTTGGCATTGGTTCTCTCAGCTTCACCGGCTTCCTGACCAGAGCACGAGGTCCATGGTAGCCATGCGTGCCTTCCGGGACAAGATATCTTCGTGCAACAAGTTGCAGGCCATCTTCCACCAGAGAGACGAGATTTTGGACCGGTACATTGTGGAGGTTGTAACCATCACCAACAACCAGGGAATGATCAACCTTTCTCAGCAGTTTCTCAGCACGTGTGAATCCGAAGAGCTAAGGCCTGGAGCAGCCCCTGTAAGTCTAGATGGATAAAAATCACGGATACATGAAAGGATAAAACAATGAGGACGGGGATGTAAACAGGACTCCTTTCATTTTGTGCATCTCTCAAAGGAGTCTTGTTTCCCTCCCCATTTTCAATGTTTTATCCTTTCATGTATTAATATCTATTCACCAACATGCCCGTTTTCAATTATTACAATAGTGTAGTTAGTTAAATAGTGTAGTTGGTAAGCTTAGAGAGTGACAGGAATATTGACTTTCTTTGGTGTTGGCCATCTTTATTACGTGCAAATTAATTTTATTTAGGAGTAGTTTCTCTTTGTCCACACTGACAGTGTGATAGGAGAAGCTAAACAGCACCCAACTAAAAAATCTGAGCATTTAGAAGTTTGGCCTTAAACATTTCAAGGATTTTATTCAATACATTAAACACCAACTATTTATGAGTACATTTGTTGGCCGCTGAAACACAACAGAAAGTGTAATACAGTGCAGCTACTTCACTTTTTCAGGGTTTCTTTTGGCCAATGTTCTTAGTAAGTCTAGTGCTATGTAGCATTCTAGCAGCACCCCCTACTTGGGTTCAAATAAACCCCCACCAAGATGCAATCTAGATTCCTGGGCTGAAACATGGTTCAACATGACTGTCCTTTTACATCTCCCGATTTATCACAACTGACAACTGACCAACATCAAAACATAATATCTAAAAGGTTGTTTTGTTTTCTTTTCTTTTGCAGTTAGACCATTGAAAAAAAAAATGGTCTTTTTGTTTTTGAAGAATTTAGGAGAACGGGAATCACCATTTTGAATAAACTCGGAAAAGTAAAACCTCAGCTTGAGTGAAGCCGGCTTGAGTGTTTAACAAATTGTTTGTTTGTTTTGTCTACCTACTGAAATTTTTATAATCTTACTGACAGGAAGGGGCACAGGCTTTGACTCTTTGTGCTGCGTGTGTGTGTTCCACAACACTGGCAGCCATTTACACTCTGCAAGAAAAAGAAAAATAGGCCATCACGCTCGAGCTGTGCCACTCCTTGCTTGTTGTAATGGATGTAGAGTAAGCAAAAAGCTTTTATGCCAGGTTCAGGCTCAGTTTAGATGTGGGATGGTATACCGCAGCGATAGCTGTTATGCACTCTTCTCCCCACTGGAAATTATGTCCGTTGTAGTAGTTAGGCGTAGGGCATTCGGCATCAGTATTGCCAAATGCTTGAAAAAGAATGCCACCCGCCCTCGGGATTCTATCCTGGGTCTGCTGCTTGTGAAGCGGGTGTGTTACCACAGAACTATGCCACAGCTTTGGCAATATGTTTTATATACAGCACTTGAGGAGCATCCAGGTGTGTCTGGGTCTCGTGTAGTGCCCACTAAATGACCACAGTTGGTGTGTTACCACAAAACTATGCCACAGCTTTGGCAATATGTTTTATATACAGCACTTGAGGAGCATCCAGGTGTGTCTGGGTCTCGTGTAGTGCCCACTAAATGACCACAGTTGCTGTGACATTGTGATTGAAAATTTATTGTTATTCCTAATGCATTCCAAATTTAAACAAAGTTAATTGTTAAAATTAATACATTTGGTTAGGTGGCACAAGCCACTGCCCGATTAAAAGGGTCCAACCGTTTTTATCCGTCCAATACCACCTAAAAGACAAGGCCTACCCTACACATTGCGTCATCATTAGTGGATCCTTAAAGGGGCCCTCCAACAGTATTTAAGCGTCAACTTTTTTTTTTGCGGTTTCTACACGGCTAGTGGTCCCGGAAACCCAGTGGACAACGAAAGAGTTTGAAAATATTAGCGCATCATATTTTAATTTGACAACTCGGAACACCTCCTCCGACGGTGGCGCCGCGAGGTGCCGAATGCGCGCGCAAAACGGCGCTCCCTTTCACTATACGTCACATTCTCTCGATTTTGTGACATGCCGTGACATGTCGCAGTTTTTGCTGAGGATTAACATAGGACTACTTATTTTTAAAGCTGTAGCTTCTTCAGAACCAGACTCCTCGTCTTGTTCTTCATCTATTGGTGCCGGGACATTTTCCAACTATTCAGGTGATAGGCATGTTCTCCGAAGGTTGGGGAATTCCATGTCCATCTATTGTTTCTTCAACATAAGGCCTGATAGACACCTGTTTCTTGTCCGACACCGAAAAACACCGAAGGGGGGGGGGGGGGGGGATTTGAAAACCCAGAATTCAAAGGAATATGAACCTCGAAAACACGGAGCCCTAATCATAACGTACCAAGGGATAGCGCAGAGGTCGTACGATGTCGCAACTCCAGACAAAAGTCAATTGATATCACAAAGGGCGCAATAAACCTCCTCCCTCACGATTACTTCAGTTATCACCTATAACCAGTCATAACTTTGAACTTCAGACTTTATTATAACTGCATCGTGTGTGCACTACGCATATTACATGCGCGATAATTTAGGTGCTCCCTGGGTTTGTCCGAATGATCGTAGCAAGTTTTATAGTTATTTGTTACGATTGCTGTCTGTTGCTGCACTGCATGAAAATATCCAAAGGATCGAAACATTGACAAAATACGAGATAGTGCCTGCATAACCAAGGAAGTAAAGCGGGGTACTTTTTGTGCCTGTGGCACATTGCATTTTCTTTCAAATTCCTGGTTTCGAAAATGCTCTTTACAAAGTTTTTGCAATTCTAGAGGCTCATTCACGCAGTGGTGTTTGACCGCTTTACATCAAGACTTGACCACTGGTTACCGGGACATCCGTGCTTCGTATAAAGCATGGCGACCCGAGCATGGAGTTGCTTGGCACGCGGCATACGAAGCTGGATGTCCCTGGAAAGTATTCGCATATCGGTATAACGCTGTCGTGCGCTACTCCGAGGACGGTGCCTTAAACATCGGTAGGACATAGAAAGAGCATTCTCCTCTTTTGTCCTTCTGCAGACCCCCCCTGTCAACGCAAAGCCAGCCATGGCTGACGCGGTGGCAACACTGGTCCCCCCGCCACCACCGACCCCAGTCTGCGTGCCCCCACCGATCCTCCCCGAAGAGGACACGTTTAACGTGATGCTGTCGGTGGTGTTCAACCCTTCCGACTTCTACGGCCAGCTCCTCACGAAGAGCGCGGCTGAGCACAACGTCACGGAGGAGCTGCAAGTGCAGCTGAACCGCTGCGGCACCCAGAGCACAGCCCCACCAGAAGACTGGGTGACTGAGGGCTCTTACTGGATCTGCCTCTACACCGGAGACAAGAACTGGTACCGAGTTCGAGTGGTGGAGGTGCTTCAGGAGCAGCAGCCGGTGAGTGCCGCCTTTGCTCGGACCGCTGCTCAAAGTCTTCCGTGACTCGAGGGTTGTCTCTAAATAATTGGCAGTCCCGTGTGGATCCACGGTAGAGTTTTGGCGATTGCCGCGACACCTTGTTGGACCCTGATGCATTTGTGCGTATCTTGCACTGTACGTGGAGGAACCGTCGTTGCCAATGTCTGCTCATGTCTGCTCAGAGAGTGACACACTCACATTATGCCCTTTGTTTAGATGTAAGTTCATAAAAGGAGGCATGTCGCTATGTTTTGTCGCATTTTTGGTAAGAAAAGGAGCTCCATGTATGTGGAATTTTGGGTTTTCAAGGGTGCTTAAAGTGCATATATTGAGTTTGCACTGTAAAGGAGACCTCAATAACTGCTTTGCCACCCCTTTCAGGTGCAGCACAGTTCAACGCGTAAAGTGGTCAATAGCTTGTCTTTCATTGTTTGCTTTCACGGCTACGCATCTGTAAAATTTTGCTCGTAGGCGAAGAATGCAAGCATTGTACACTTTGTGCTTAATTTACATATCATGAAAGTGGTGTGAAGAGGCAAGAAGTTTTAGTCGAAGCTCAGAATCCAACAGACTTCACCATGGTCATTTTCATTGTGGAGAGCAATCTTCATTGTGGTTGGAAAGAGAATATGGGAAGGGGATATGATTTTGAATACAATATGTATGTGCACAAGAGGCGTACCACACTCGTTTGCAATTAATCTTTTTGCTACAGATACCTGTGACTTATAGCTGTGTACCTATGTCCAGCTTCTCCACAGCCTCCCCCTGTAGCCAAATGCCCTTGTACCGCCTGTATGGCATCCTTTTCATGGCCTGCGGAAACCACTGCTTTCAGCTTAGCAGTTACTGCGAAATAGCATCATGTGAGGGTTTTTTCCTGGCACCCAACAGTTAATGACCACTGGGGGCCCGGTCAGGCCATGGTTCCAGCAGGTTATGAAGAGGCTGCCACACAAGTAGTGCAAAGGCATTTGTCTACGAGTGAGGTCTGTCGAGAAGGAGGACATATGTACAAACCTCTAAATGACCATTATGTGCGGCTAAAAAATTAATCATAAATCAGTATGGTGCGCCCCTCGTATATGATTAAATATGGTTGCTCTCATGTTATGTCTAGCTTTTGATTTTTCTAGAAATATTGGTACTTTCAAGTCGGTACTAATTATTTTGCAGGTATATAAATCTGTGCTCACATTAAAATTGTGGATACTTTAGAATTATTTAAATGTAGCGAGCTTTCGAAGAAATAAAAAAAAACATTACAGTTTGAAAGACAGTTACGTGGAAGACGATATACCCAAATGCTTGTAAAGAACCAATAAAAAGGTGTGTTATAGATTATTTATTTGAATTGCTTCGCAATTACCCGAATGCACTTTCACTGGAGCCTGCAAATTCCAGCCCAAAATACCAAACTTTCTGGTACTGCTGCACCTATAGACGGCAAATATTGTCTTCAACATGCGTGAATTATTGTACCAATTGAAATTGTGTGCGTGCAAGTTATGAGGTCAAGCCTGGTGCACTTCCATGTCTCGAAATTGAGCTACGCGCGATTCTATAAAAAGAGGGAATTGTGCTTTGCTCCCTCTTCTTGTTTGTGTCGTATCAGGTTTTTTTTCCGTATTGAAGTGTTTTGGTTTCATGGGCTTTGATTGCGACCTTGTGCAGCGTCGCTTCAAGGTCTTCTACGTCGACTATGGCAACCGAGGCATGGCGCAGTGTTCGGAGCTGCGTCCCCTTCCAGCCGACCTGGCCAAGCTGCCGGCATGCGCGATCCGCATGGCCCTCTCCTTTGTGGGCCCCAAGGGACCCCGGTGGGATGCCCCAGCTAAACAGGTGTTCGTGAGTCAGGCGGGCTTCACCCAGCCCCTGGAGGCCGAGAGGAAGCGGCAGCTGCAGGAAGGGTGAGGATCTTTTCCCCAGCCCATCTCGTGGGTACAAAACTGAGACACCTATTGCAGCTTTGTGCTTGAGGCAATTTTAAAAATCGTCCCGGAACGAAGGTAGAAAGAAATTGCCCGGCTAAAGCCGGATTATCGTGTCATCTCCGACTGGTCAGTTTACCGCATCCTAAGAAGTGGTCTCTTGATTTCTGTCTGGTGAGGTTGGAAAAGTGTTACATTGTTGTTGGCTGCAATCCTGGTGGCATCAGTGCAGCGGCTGGTGATGTGGCAGACGCCTGTTCTGCTGTGGGTCACTCTCCAGCCGGACAGTCTGCAGAAGCCTCGGCGGCGAGGCGCCGCGACGACGGCGACGCTCGCATTCGCTCATACTTATTGCCAAGACCCTAGTTCCAACTGCCGGGATCGCAACGTCGAACAACGTGACGTGCCGGTTGTTGTGACTTCGTTTGTTGCTGCTTCGGGACTGCTTTAGATGTATGGGCGGTATACGTACAAGGAGGTTATGTGGGCAGGAGGTGGCATCCGTATTGCTGGGTAACTTACATCTAAAAAGTAGTTGAAGCACAAAGTAAATGAGAGGTTATGTACTTCAAGTAAAGTATTAAGTATACCGGCTCCAATGTACTTGAAGTAAAGTGCTATAAATACGACGCAGTTTCAAAGTAAAGTATGGGTACTTTTTGATGAAATCTTCTATGATGCTCTTTCATTCGCTTATGCAATGTTCTTTTTTCTAATTTGTTTTTAACTGGTGTTGCTTTAGGGGTAACAGATCAGTTATTTTCGGAAACGGCGGCGAATATTGGATAAAGTCAAGTGGCCCTCCAACTTCTGAATTCGGTGCCGCTTGCACTGGCCAACACCCAAGGAAGTTAAAACATACTAGAAGAGAGCGTGATGTTGGCCCCGTAGCTTCCGCAAGCAATCCTCTTGTGGAGGACCGTCATCTCCAAATACTTTTAACCTTTGTTTTGGGTGAGAGTACAATATCCCTTCCAGTATTTTTTCAGAGTTGATAAAGAATCATTTTGTGATACAAATTTAACAATACCAGGTTTGGGGAATCTACTTTGAGGTCAAGAGTTGTACTTCCCTGAGAAAGTACCAGAAAAATTCTTAAAGTAAAGTATAAGTACATACTCGGAGAGTGTACTTCAAGTAAAGTACTAGTTTCCTGAATTACTTAGTCGTACAACTAAGTAAAATCTTCATAAAGTACTCCCCAACACTGGTATTCTCCATATATAGAGCCAGGCACGTAGCCGGGGGGGGGGGGGGGGGGGGGGGGGAAGGGAAGGGAAGGGAAGGGAAGGGAAGGGAAGGGAAGGGAAGGGAGGAGGAGGAGGAGGAGGAGGAGGAGGAGGAGGAGGAGGAGGGAGGGAGGGAGGGAGGGAGGGAGGGGGGAGGGGGGGGAGGAGGAGGAGGGAGGGGGAGGGGTAGGGGGAGGAGGGAGGGAGGGGTAGGGGGAGATGATGGTTTTGGGGATCTAGGATAGATGGCGCCACTAAAACTCCCTATAATAAAAGTTTTGTCGATGATACAAGGATTTTGACGCATTTATATTTATGTTAAAACGACATGTTTTATTGAAAAGTTACTTTTTATCGAGCAGGTATTCACACAACTTGCTACCTTTCTTCAAGACCCCCCATTGACATCATGCCACGTGTCTCTCATGGCCGCCGCTTGCGGCTGCAGGTCGGGGAATATTCCAATGTTTTCCTCGCAATTACGCGGTGGAATCGCAACATTTCGAAGAAAGCAGGCGTGTTTTCTGTCCTTTGTGACAAGATGAACAATGTCAAAAGTAGATGATGCCAATTCTTTCAACGTTAAAATCGTTGCACAGCCCCTTTAAAGACTCTCGCTTCGTCCTGGACCAGCTGTACCGGATCAGCTGACGACGACGGGATTGAACCTGTTGAACCTCAACCCCACAACCAATTTGCGCTCCGTGTTAGTGTTGGTTTCTACTTCCAAGCCTCGCACCACGCACCACTTCAGTTCTTTGTCGCATCGCCGTGCTGCACCAAACAGAACGAGATCGCCGAAGTCATCGCAGCGCTGTCGTGAACATTGGCTTGTGGTTGCGCACTCGTGGACCCTGTGACTCCCTTCGCTTTCAAAGCAGACACGACGATTACGAATTATACTTTCCAACTTTCGGGAATGTCTCAGGGGCACTTTTCCGGTCACGTCTTCGCTACATGTGCTCGCAAAGTGCGGAGCATCTAGCATCCCGCCAAACCAAAACAATACCGGCATCATGTTGAATGTGCTTTGTTGCTACATTTTCTCCGACCAAACAAAAACAACAAAAGGGCTTTAGGTTCCAGCGTACATCGGCAGCACCTTCCCCCCGTTCTCCAGTTTCCCCCCTCTCTCCTGATTCGCGGCGTATCTTTGATATGGTTTTTCGACAAGACACACAGGAAGTCGAGACGCTGCGTACGTCGTTCAACTCCGCAGCCAAGTCAATCCAAGAGCAAATCCAAGAGCGAAGGGCAGAGCGTACTTCTGCTCCGCACTGGTCAAAAGAGCGGGAGTTTCAAATGTGGAGAGGTTCTGACTCAGACTAAATTATGTCCCGTTGCGTAAATATTGCTAAAAAAAGTTTTTCTTTTTCGTGGAAGGTTTGTTTTGTGACATGCTTGTCCCAATTAGGCTGTTTAAAAAAAAACACTTTTTCTTTGCAGTTACCTTTTAATGGGTGCCACCATGTAAATATGGGGCAAACAACTGCATTGCCATGGCATTGCTGTGGCAGCGTGTTTGTTTGCCCCATGATTATATGGCAGTGTCCACTGAATCGGTTTCAAACAGATGAGATTCAGAGCCCAATACTTACCTGGAGGAAGTTGGCGTGGGGGGGACGCTCTACACAGCGTCCTGGAAGCGTCTTCTAGAGTGAATCGTCATAGCACAGCTTTGGAAAGCGAGCATATTAGGTGCCAAACGCACGGATACTGAGGATGGCACTAGGTTGAGAATGCTTTGGAAGCTCCACTTCCAGCACGTTTTCGTTTCTTTCGTCGTGCTGTATTTGTGCGGGCTCATCAGAACTTCTTTGAGTGCGCCGATCATGTCTAAATCTAGCCTTGACAGCAGGCATACAAAGCGGACCACATGCATGGAGCAGACGTAACATGAGCCTAACGTGGCAGACCGAGCCGACCGAGCGGTGAGCAGACAATGAGAGCAGCATCAGTGCACAATCCAGTCTGGGATTGTGTTCTTTTCCCGGCGACACCGAGCATGACATCATGCCGGGCCCTGGGGTATTTAAACGTCCTTGGCGGGATGGTACACTAAATACTCTATTTGAAGACATGTTCCAGGCACAGCAAGCCTGATTCACAAAGTGCCATTTTGCTTGCCTTTCCGCAGCTGCGACGTTGAGCACCGCTGCTTGCAGCACAAGCGACATAGCAACTGCAAAATCGCATGTTATATCGTATCACTGGAATCTGGTATAAGACATTCCGTCAAATGCAGTGAAACTCCAATGGTACTTGATGGGGTTTCCAATGAGGAGCACTTCGAGATGCCTCCATGCCCATTAGATTATCCTGCTAATGTGCAGTTTCTACCTTGCTATGCAGCCCCCATTCCCAGTTATTGGAGGTGAGGGGAATAGGGGCGTGTTAGTGCACCGCCTAATTTGCTACGTTGTGCAGCGCAGTGCCATTGGTCGTACGCACTATGACATTAAACCGGCAGCTGTGCATTGTTGTTGACGCTCTCTTCCTTGACCTTGCTACGGCAGGACCCGACCAACACGAGCAAGCAAGATCTGGGCAGGGTTCCCGTATGAGGCTATCGCTTTGAAAGCAGACAGCATCAAAGTATGGCCGAGAACTGAAATTGTTTGGTTGTTGGTCGTTGTTTGGGTCGTTGGAGCAAACACTTTATTCTGTCTAAACATTGCTCTCTCTCTCTCTCCGGCGGCGTCTTTTTGGTACGTCGAGCATGGTCCCCATACTCGGCATGTCACCGGTTCTGTTCATGTATCTCCTCTTCAGTCTGTTCCTTTCTCTTGCGAGGCATCACGAATACTGTGGCACATCCAGTGAGCACCTCATCTCTTGACCCAAACATGCACACAATAAGAGGACGGCACGTGTACCTCACTCTCCCCACCAGAATTTTTGAGGGCGTTGGCTGACGTAAAGAAATGCTACTTTAAAACATGCACAGTTACCAAAGTTTTTTTTATAGATATTAATGTGCACTGATACTTTCTTTTCTAACTTTATATTAGTTTTGGAAATGCTCTTATCGTTTTCAAGGACCACTCAATACTCCCCTTCCGGGCAGCAGTCGGACGGAGTGCAGGGATGGTGCCAGGCTTTTCATAGTGAGGGGGCAGTGGGGTGGCGCGCGGCATTTTTGGGGAGGCATGGGCCTTCGATCCGACTAAAAGAACAAATATTCAGGGACGATGACTTGGCGCTTCGGGAGTTTTTAATAGAAATCAGCTGAGTTTATTTCATTATTTTACAACCTATCTACAACTTTGGTTGATGTAGGATTTTACGTGCAAAATATTCAGGCATGTTTACATTCCACAATACTAAATAAGTCGTGACTCATCATCTGCTTTTTAGGCAGTCCCCTGCAGCGCGGAAAACCGGAGCACATCAGCGATCATGTAGATGTAGTGACGATTCTCCCTTCTCTGCTGAATACGCCTGGCAGACGTACACGGCGACTGATTTAGCCGCGCCACTGTTCTTCATCTGCTTGAAGGAAGCCGGTGATGTTTGGGACAGCTTGCGTGCCGCACTGTTGAAGTGGCGTCGTAGTCCGCCTTCTTTTTGAAGAACTTTCTTCTAGTTTTGACGGCCCTCTGTCAAAATACAGCACTTCCACTGTCCCCCCCCCCAAATGCGCAAACACTTTCAGCTTTCCTCCAACCTCCTGGGATAGTCACCTCAAAGGGACTCCGTGCCCCAGGGTCACTAATGATGGGAGCATGGAAGTTCTGGAACCCTATCCCGAGCACACACAGTCGCCGTCACCAAAGTTGCTTCAAGGACCCCATAGAGACTTGAAATAAGCAGGACGACCTAGACACATCAAAGCCACCCCTTGGGAACTCACCAGTCGGCCCAAGCGTCTCAGGACTTTGGGAGATTTCCTCGGTCAGAACATGAACAGTGCCCTTGAGTTCCTTTATCTGGCAGGTACGAAGCGACCGCGCAGTGCAGATGGGATTCCAAGTTTCTCCGAGTAATCACTTGACACTTGGGTGAAGCTACTTTCAGGAAGTCTTTTATGGTTGGCGACAGAGGAATTGAGTGGTAGATGACGCTCTTTAGCTTCGGCAAGCCATACCGATATTCATGCATCGTTCTTCACGGGGTACGTAAAGAAAATAAAGCGGACGGCACGAAAGAGTTGAAAACGTCCGGTTGGCTATCCTTCAAGCCAATGCCTTTTCCATGGGACGAGGAAATTAGGAAAATGACGAGCCATGTAGCGTATGTGGGTCTGTGCACGAAAATTAGGGTGAGGGTGGGCTGTAAAGGCTGGCATATTTTTGGGGTGGCAGGACAAATTTTAGGGGAGGCGCCCACCACCCCTCGCCTCCCTTTGGCGCCGTCCCTGACGGAGTGGTGTGCAGCACTTCGGTCACACTTGACAAAAGTGTCATATGTAGAGTATGTATGATTGTCACGTAATTTGTGCCACCACGGCTCATGTGATGTGACATTACAATGAATGTACCGTGACATCATGGTGTCAGGTAATGCGATGCCATTGGGAAACATTGACGTCACCTGATGGGGTTGCTATTATGTAACCGTGTAACAATGTCGTGTGACCACCATGCTTTATATTTGGCGTATGACACCTCTCCAAATTTAGCATTTAAAGGGGCACTGACACCCCAAAGGTCGTATTTATTTTTATTGTCTAAAACGATGCAAGTTACAGTCATAAACACGCAAAAAAAAAAACGCATCGCGAAAAAAAATTTTCGCGCGCGCGCGCGCCTTTTTATTTTTGGCGTTTGCTTTTTCCGCCTCTCGCCTCCTCGCTTCTTTTGATCGGTGACGTCAAGAATCATGAAATTTAGAAGCTTTGTAGGCGACATCTCTATAACATTTAATTACGGCAATCCTAAAACATGTTTTTTAACGCAATTGCGAACGCACTACGGCCCTTCTTTTTGAAATACCAAAAATCGGGAGTTCGTTGTGGTGCCGTCTCCTGGATTTGTATCCTCTAACGGAAAACAGGCGACACCGCTCAAAACCGGTCCGCCGCAACGCCTGCGCTCGCTCCTTTCCTCCTCGCTTTGGGTCGCCATGGCAACAGCAGGGAGTGGTGAAAAAAAGTGGACTCTTAGGACTTCGCAATTTTTGACGTCAAGGCACCGGCGCCTATCGCGCGGGAACTTCGAATTCGGCATTTGGAAATTGTTTTTTTACTTCACAAATACTGAATTCCCAAATTTCAAATTTTGAGGGTAATGTCCCGGCATCGTTTTCAATCGTTTCGTATAATAAAAAAAAATATGATTTTGATGTGTCAGTGCCCCTTTAAGTAATGCATATTCATAAAGCAGTTCCGTAACATACTTCTGCAACAGTCTTTTTTACACCCAAAAGGCCAAGGCCAGCCCTGTGACTAGGCTGTAGACCTTCCGGTTCTAACCAAAGAATGGCAATAAACATCTGCCAGTGTCAAGAAGACAAAATCAGTTAAAACCAAAAAAACTGTGATTTCTGGAAATTTTTAAAGCGAGGACTCTTTTTGTTAAAACCCTCCAACCTAAGGTTTGAACAAAAATAGTTTTTAATGAAAGAGGTAAGTTCATTTGTTTCCATTTTCACTCCAAGTTACCACCACCTAGCCACACCTATAGTAAATTACAGCGCGATATGTTGAGAGAGTGTGTTCGAAGCTTTAATGCACATGCTGCGTATCAGGAAGTCTGAAAAAATACCATCCACAAATTTAACACAAATTTTACTCTATTGGTCTAGTAAGATTGGCTCAAGTCTATTAAGATTGTTTCAAGACAAGCTCTGTTGAGGATTATTTGGAGTGACTCATAGACCCTAATTTCTTTTCAGTGTCGAAACTGTCCTGGAGGTAATACTGTGGAACAAAGCAAACCCTGAAGTTGCCATCAATCTCAATATTCTATTGGTGGAACAAGGTGTTGCAGTCTTCAAGAATGAAGAAAGTGACCTGTGAAGTTGGAATGTCAGCTTCTGCCTTCTTTTTTTTTTATGTTCGAGCATTACATAGTTTTGTTTAAGCCATTAAATTGTTTTGCAGGTTGAATATGCATGTGTCTTAGATTCTACAGGACTTGTATGCATGCACTAAAAATTAATTTCTAAGATGATCACTCATAATAAGCTTAGGTCACTGGAAGTTTGACACATTACTATTCTTCGAGGCAACCTTCTGCGGCACTGTAGCCAAAGCTATGGGTGCCAGAGTCCCTCTTGAAGAATGCCAAAATTATGTGATCTATCTCAACGTTGCAGAGGAGGTCAGCTGGTACAAAGAGCGATGCGATCGCTGTGCCAAACTGCACTACGTTTTACCAAAATGTGATGAATTTGCACCAACATTGTGCCAAGACTTCATTTAGCTTTAATAGTACTGAAAATAAGCTCAGGCCTATTTACCCAGCCGGATCCTTACGACATGCTTGTACAGGTTTTCAGAACTTCGATAATTGCCTCTAACAACTGTTCTATTCGATTTTGCATCAAACGGTGACTGTAAGATTGTTATGGATTCTTTTGTAGGTTTATTTTTTATACTTTGCTTTTCGTCTGAATTAAGAATTGCAGTTTTATGACGACCTCTAGTACTTGGAGGGAACATAAATTTAGGTGCTCAAAATCATTGCATTCTACCGTTATTTTGAGTGGGATTCCATGCCTGAAATAACCATTTACGGCCCTGGTGCTTCTACACTCAACTAAACAACTGGTGCTGTGTTTTAGGGAATTGCTCCTGCTGTTCAATCAATGACGTGATTGGTCAAAGTCAAAATGACTGACCAATCACATCACTTCAAAGATCATCAAATGGAATTCAGCAGGTTTCCTTTTAAATGGCTCTGAAGGGGAGCCTCAAAATCTTTGCAATGTGCAAAAAGTTTTGGATCTGAAAATTGTGCCACCACTGGAAGGTGTAAATAATATCTAGCTAGCATTGACCGGCTTATGCCTCTGTCTATCTCTCCAAGGATGGAGACCAGTTTTATGAAGGATGCTTTTATCATCAAGACGCTAGTCTTAGGGAAGTTACTTTTAAAATGGAATTTGTTAGTTACAATTACTTTCAGGAAGAGCACTCCAGTTACTGTTGTTACAATGAAGTTGCATATTGCAGTTCTTCCCAAAGAGTAATATGCCATTGCTTTTTTTAATTTTTGGAGCTAGCGTCAAACATCTGGGAAAATGTAGAATGCCACACCACAAGTTGGTTTAATGGAGTAAAATCTATCTACCACACAATGTAACCAAGTGGTGGCTACTTTTTGACGTCTTCATCAGTCAACCTCTCTTGATTCCAAATGCGTCCCAGCCTTTGTTGAACACTCTTTCAGCCGACCCACTTGTTCTTGAGGAGCTAGTGCTAAGCACCCTTGAACAAGTGATGAGGACCAGTAACTTGTCTCCAAGGCCGAGGCATTGGCAGTGATCATGGTAGAGATATTCCGTTTCACACAAGTGCAAAAATAGCAGAAGCTACAAAAGGGACAGAACGAGCGGGTTGGTATGGATAATTAAAACTTGAGGAAGAAAACGAGAAGGGACGGACAAACACAAACTTCCAACTGGCAACATTTGTTGTCATGTAGAGTATGTATGTACGTGTATGTCGACACAAACCTACCTCGACAGCTACCGCCATCTATGAGCGACGGCGGCAAGCACACAACCAGTATGGTCTCTGCCGTCGTTCGTAGATGGCGGCAACCTTTCCAGTTATAATAGAAGAATGGATAGTTGGGCGCATTGGTGGGAATGGACCTTTTTCTAGAGTTCCTGTATAGCTACCTACGGTAGCAGAGTTGCGCATTCAGCCTCGGCGAGTGGACGTAGCGCCGGCTTTCCCGCACGAGCTGGATGCTTTGCTCCTCACGTGACTAAATTTGGCGAATAGCGGCGCTGCGCGCACCGCCGCGCATGGAAAACAGGAGAGGAGGAAAAGGAGGCGGAAAGCAGGGAAACATACGCCGGGGCGCGAGAAACGTCGGCGGAGCGACCGTAAAGGTGGCTTTCTTGCACGCCACCGGATGCTTTGCTCCTCACGTGATGGATCTCGGCGAATAGCGGCGTGGCGGCGCGGGGAAAACAAATGCGCAACTCTGGCTCCCGTACTTTTTTCGAGTAAGGAGCGCCGTCTGGGGAGTTGTAAACGAACTATAATAGAAGAGCAGCCCTGCATGCCTCCGCCCGTCAGAACACATTGGCATCGTGCCGTTGTATCGGTTTTCAGTGCTTCTTATACCCCACACTACCATACTAAAAAACAAAGCGTCAAAATATACTAAATACGCGAGAAGATAGGTGCTGACAATGTTGCTGTCGCCTTTTTGGCAGGGCATCGCGTCCCGGTGTCTTGCGAAAATGGCGACTGCGGGAGTGTACGCATGCGCAGAAGCTTACTGGAAAAAGGCGCGAAAAACAGACAACGACGAAGAAGCACACAGTGTATCGAGTACAACTCCGCTGGTCTGCCTTCACGAAAATAAAAAGCCTGAACGTTTTTGTTTTTTTTTTAATAAAGCATATTGATTTTTTTTAATAAAGCATGCTGATTTTTGTTATTCCATTAATGTTCATATGTCAAATGACAAAAGCTTTGTATTCTATCTAAATTAACTGCAGTTTACTTACAACCTCTAGAACTGGGAGAAAACATCAATTAAGGTGCTCAGTTATTCTAGCGTCATTTAAAGGAGCTGTGCAACAATTTCAGTGTTTTGCTTAAATAATTTGGGAGTTGGTGTCTCGACCTTTTAAAAAAAAAAGAAAAAAAAACACTTGTTTGCATGTTCTAGTTTTTATTTTAAAAGTGGACAAAGATTGAGGTTTTCGGCACCTCTCAACTCCACCATCTTCCGAGTCACATGCGCTGTGACGTGAAATGAGGACGCGCGGGGTTCCGGTGAAGCTCTCTCTCTAGAGGCATCAGTGAGCAGCGAGAACTCAGCCGCTCGCGACCACGTGCTTGCTCAGCGTGATCAACATGGCGAAAGGAGGAAAGTGCCCAACGTGCTCGTCCGGGTCCAGCCATCCCTGTCCGGCTCTGCCCCCGTCCCCCTCCGGCTTCTGGCGGCTGGTCGCGGTAGCAGATAGAGCTGACGGCTTTGTCGACCTCGGATAGATGGCGCCACTAAAACTCCGTGCAATAAAAGTTTTGGCGATTATACCAGGTTTTTCACGCATTTATATTTATGTTGGAACGACATGATTTATAGAAAAATTACCTTTTATCGAGCAGGTATTTGCACAACTTGCTATCTTTTTACAAGTCCCCCTTTGACGTCACGCCGCGTGGTTCTCATGGCCGCCGCTCGCGGCTTCAGGTCTGGATATATACTATTTTTTGGATCGTTATTACGTGGCGGAATCGCAACATTTCGGAGGAAGAAGATGTGTTTTCTTTCCTTTGTGACAAGATAAACAATGTCAAGAGTAAAAGATGCAAATTCTTTCAACGTTAAAATCGTTGCACAGCTTCTTTAAGTACACCATACTATTTGGTTTCTTTGATTTCATGCCTAAAATAACTTTGCACAGCAGATTCTACTGCCTTTTAATCAGCACCTTGTTTGTTACTGTGCCTTGTACTTCTTACGTGCAATTACATCGCTAGCTAGGGAATCAAACCTGCCATGTTGCTGATGCCATCGAAAGGATGCCATCGAAAGCATGAAAGCAAACTAGACGTAAGCACGTGCATTTTAGAATAATATTTGCACTAATATGGGGGGAAAATGTGCTTATGTTCCGCAATGGACTTTTTGCTACTACAAGAGGGTGCTCCAAAATCACTCGGACCAATCACATCACTGCTCGTGGTATTTGAACGTAGCCCCCTCGGTTATCCTTGGTGTCTCTTTGGGTTAATTAGAGTTGTGTGTTGGACGTGTCCTTTCTCTAGCCCACAGTTGTGTGCAGTGCAATTCTTCAGGGTTTCAATTCTTAGGTTACCTTATGGGTATAGACCCCAAGATACTGTTGGGTACTTTTTATTCCAGTAGTTATAAATTAGCAGGAGTCAGTGAAACAGCCAGATCACATTTATTGCAGAGCAGATATATGCACAACATGCAATAGAGTTGACATGGCATTAACAATTATACAAGTGCTGAGTGGAAACGAACAACTAAGAGCTTCACAATCGGCATGAAAAGTATTAGCCTCCAACATTGGCAGAGCGAACAAGCTTCAGTTTCGAAATACCCATCCCTTGAGCTGGTCGTACTTTTCCAATAGCATGCTTGCACAGGGCTTGGTGGATCTGAAGAAAAAATGCCGTAACCCATTACTCCTCGGTTCTAACACACACATACTGATGGAGCGCCGGTTTGAATGTACGCTTGCAAGTACGGCCTTAGGGCGCGGAGGGGGGGGGGGGGGGGGGGAGGGGGGCAGTTTGCTCACTTGGGGTCTGCTTAGGCCCCTTGGCAGTGCCCTGAGGCCGTACTTGCAAACGTGTGTAGGATGATTTCAGATAAGATCTAACCAAGGGTAGTTGGTTGACATCCTTAATTCGCTTTATAGTTTATATTCTGTTGCCTAATCCACACTATAAAACGACTCCATAAGTAATTTCGCACAGAAAAAAAATCTCGGCACAAAAAGTCTGAGATTTGAAGAAATGAGCACCCGAACTAAAGTCCCTTGGTAACATTCACGCTCCAAGTTTCTTACGAATACCGACAAACGCTGTGCGAACGCGCGAGAGATGCGTCACGAGTGAGTTCTCTAGCGTTTTAGCGCATTTGACGCTGCTTGCAAGGCAAGTACACCGCCGGAGTGGAAGATTTCGGTGAAGCGAAAGTTCGGCTTACAGGGGTTAGGACACGAAAATTAAAGGGGTAGTTCTTGAAAAGGAACGCCTAAGACTACTATATACGCAAAGTTCAGCGATTCTTACAGCTAGTAATTATAAATTTACGAGTGTTATCACTATCGTCTAGTGACCAGGCAACACTGATTATTCCGCTCGCAGATCTCGAGCGCTCCAAAAGCGCTCATTTGGAGCGCGCATATTCCGCTCGCAGATCTGGCTCGAGTTGGTCATCTTCCGCTCGTAGATCTCTGGCAGCGCCCGCTCCACGGAGAGCCCCAAACCCCGCCGAACTTGCTCTGCGGGATTTCACAGATCTCTCCGGAAGTTGGCAGAGCGGCCCACGTGATTTCCGTCTAAATCGGCAGTGCGCATGCGCGGCGAGGTTGGAGAGGTCGGCGGGCCGGTCGGGCCGTGGAGTTGGATCTGTGCGGGTGCGTCGGTTGTTTATGCGGGATTGTGACGGCTCGAACGCTTCTACCTTGCGTAGATTAGGGATACAACGCCGAGACTGGAGCGTGCTAAATCTTAAGCGCTGACATCTGTGATCGTGAGAGGAAGGACGACAGAAAAGCCGGAGGCAGACGCAAGGTTAGGCCTGTTCATTCTGCAGCCAATGATTGTTTACATTTTTACACTGCATTCCGCCGGCGTTTTCCCGTGAAATAAAGCAAGAAGTGATTAAGCAACGACCGCAAGGGATGGTTTGTTACCTTTCTGTTCATTAAAGGCGTACACAAAATCTGAACTCCTCTGCTGGCAATCGCTGTCCGTGCCCCGCCGCTTCGAGGCGGCCGAAAGGTATAGTGACGGTGCCGAACGCGGACGTATTCGTAATTTGTGACATGGGCGCCGTGGTACGTATAATTTCGCCCGGCCTGTGTCGCGTGTTATTTCTGCAGCTAAGCAGTGACAGTCGTCACTGGTCGTCGGAAAGATCAGTCGGCTGAGGCGTTGGTGGGCTTGTCAAGTTCGAGCAGCGGCCATTTTGAACGGCGGAGGGGGAAGCGGTGGGGAGGGGTGTGGGGGAGGTCGCTCCAAAAATGCAAGTTTATCTTCCCCTCGTCGATTCGGAGCGGGTCCCACGGAGCGGAATTTCGCCTCCCTCGCGGATTTTGGAAAGCGCTCCGGATCTACGAGTGGAATTCACCATTAGTCACACCATGATGCCCATTAACCACGTGATCATAATAGTTCGTTGAACGCTCTTGTTCTAGTCGCCCCCGTCAACATTTCCTAAACGAGTTTACTATAGTCCGTTGCAACTCAAGAAGGTAGGGTGAGGGAAAGGGAGGCCGGGGACGGAGAAGCAGGCGGAACGCTGGAGAAGAGGGGGAAACCCCCTCTCTTTAGCGTTCCGTCTGCTTCCTCCTGCCAGACCTTCCCTTCCCTCGCTCTACTTTCTTGAGTTGCAACGGAGTCTAGTTGCGTGCAGTACAGACGAAGGAAACGCCAGCCGAGGGGAGAAAGGGGCAAGCACAATGAAGGCTGGGGAGGAGGAGAGAAACTCCCTCTTCTCTCTAACGTTCATAATACTCTCCCTTTTCCCGCCTCTCCTATTGCCCTCCTCTTCCGCCCGCCTTCGTAGTGCTCGTTCTTTCTATCTTTGCCTTGAGTTTTCTTCGCCTGCAATGACACGGAGTATGCAAGTGCTCAAGTTTCCTGCGTCACTAGAGAAAGCCGCCTTTCTCTAGTGACGCAGGCGCCAGCGTTCGGCTAGGAGTTGTGTTCTCACAGATTGGACACGAGTTCCAGCAGAACGCTGACGCCTGTCGTCTCCAACCCGCGGCTTACGGTGGCCTTTTCTAGTGACACACGAAAGAACTTGGGCCTTTATATTTACAAGGCGTTTCCCCCACGCTCGCCCGGGTAAGATCGCACACACTGGGCCTTCCACCTTGCATGCGCGTGCGAGACCGTCGCGGACGACGGTGAGTTCGTCCGTGACGATCTTGTCGCTGGAGCTCGGCGCGAGCGGGTCGAGGTCAAAATGGCCAGCTTCCAACACCCTTTGACAATAATCACGCATCGCTGCTGAGATCCGTATCGAAAACTGACTAAGCGAGCGTATACCTCGATGTCCCCATCTCGAAACCCCGTGCTCGAAACGTGCAAGCTGAAGTGAAGCGCGAGACGCCGAGAGAGCAAAGTCCAAGAATTCGTGCAAGGGCATGCCGCGCGTTGGCCGAATGACATCACCGGCCCAACGAACATGACGGCATTTTCGAATGGGGTGATTTCGAGGGTTCCGCGTATAAATCGATTTACACCAAAACTATCGCACCATTAAAAAAAAAAAAAAAATTGTAGAGCCTACCTACTTTATGTCAATATGGAGGACCAGCGAAGCTGTTATCTTTACGACAACTTTACTACAACTATACATCTATACTATTTACATATGATTGCATTGAAGACACACGCCCTCGTTATTTAATTGTCTTTATTTAATTCTTAGTGGCTAAAGTGATCATTGCATTATGGTCACTATGGTAAACCGCGATAAAGAGCCCAAGTCTATCAGCATCAAATAAGCGAAAGAAAATGTTAGATCGGCGTGTTCTGCCCTAAGCATCGTCCCAGCGCACTCTTAGCTGAGATAAGTCGGTGACCGTAGATGTTAACAAGGGATCAGGACCTCTATCTAATAATGTCAAGGAAGGATGACTCACGCGGGTTGCCCCCTCTTTTTATATATACTTGCCATGACTAATCGGAACGAAGGAGCGCCGTTTGAACGGGAGTTTATTTTTGTTAGCATCCATGGACGACAAGTTTTCTTGGCATTTCGGGTAAAGGAGGAGAGCCCGCGCACAGCTTTATTTAGCACTCAAAATGGGAGAGGGAACGCGTGCTTGTACCTTCCACCGCATTGCCAAGAAAAGTTGTCGCGGAGTATAGCACATAACAACTTCGCTCTAAAAAAGATGTAGCAGACATATATAGATACATACAATGAATTCTAGCGGTATAATTCTCATTTCATTTTTGGCGTGTCCTAACCCCTTTAACGTGTGCTAAAAAAAAGTAGAATATGAAAGGAAAAAAAAACATTCGAATCTTATTAGGCTTTTGGTTACTTACGTTCTGCCTGCACTGGCTTCACCTTGAAGGGGTTTTCTCTGTACAAGTTCCTTGGGAACGCTGAACACTGCCTTCGTATCTGCCCTAAGGTTCCTGAAGAAGAAGAAAAAAAATGCAATGCACAAATAGTTTTTGTTCAGCATCAGAAGTATGAACTGCAGCAACATGGCACACGTGGTATTATTTTACTTACGGCAACGGAACACTTTCAGTCGGTGTATAACTACGCAGGTTGAAAATTTTGCAGTCTTTACGAGATTAAATATATATGCTATCTTTGAGAGATGGTCTTTTATAATAGTGTCAATTACTTTAATAAGCACATAACGAAAGATTGATGCGTAATACATACGCAGATCGAAAGTAATCCAGGTCTGCCCGATAGATGGCACCCGTGTTCTCTCGTCGTTAGCGGTAGCAACGCCATCCAACACACTCAAACGCAAATCCGTGAACCAGTCTTTACGAGGGGTTCTTGAACACCTTTACTATAACTTAAGGATAACCATTTTTTTCACATTAATTGAAATGTGTGTTGGACACGTCTACACCATTTTTTGTCACTTAAAGTCAAGGCTGCTCGTGTTTAGTCACATTTTTTATTCTCCGGTTGCCTTTTGGTCATTCAACTCCTTTTTTAAATTTTGCAACATGCAACTTCGAAATGTTTTAGAGCCAGGCATTTGCAAATTTTATTCGCGCACACGCCAGTACGACGCGGGCAACATTAACGTATCTCGACAACCACACAGACGTGTTCGCCGATCACTGCACTCCAAATGAAGCTTGGAGAATAGGGGTTCAATGCGATCTCACCAGGAGAGAAACTTTCCTTTCCACATTCTTTATTTACTCATTTACCCTTAAAGGCCCTATCAAGGGCCTTTAAGGGTAAACGGCCTTTAAGAAACAAAAAAACCGTGGAGTGCATGCTGGTATCGCTCTCTTGTGCAGGTATACTCGCCCTGACGTCTAAGTCACCTTGGCCACGAATTTTGTGTCTAAGGAAGTACGTTGGATCTAATGGTCTTATCGTGCTAAAACACAGGTCATTGCAGAAGCATCTAGCTAATCCATCAAACTGAGTATATACATTTTTTTTCGGTCTCTTTCTTATGTACATGTATTCTAGATGTCTCCAACCGCGGCAACACCTATTCAGTGGTGACTCTTTCAATCGATATATCAGATGGTGTGGGAATTCAGTATTAGTTCCGCGAATATGTTACAAAGTGAGGATTTATTAACGACATAAATATTGGTGGATACTGCTGTAGAAAAGCAACACATTCAGAGTACCGAGAAAGTGACGCGTTCCATTGGAATCTCAGTAATTAGTAGCGTACTTATAGTTACTTTATAAGCGAGTAACAAGCAACGGTATTTAGCTGCTTTTTAAATTTTTTTTTTCAGTGACGTGTACATGTTGGTTAAGACCTGTCTTCGCCGAGGTCATTGGATTTTCGAGGAGCGAAATGTATGCCTAAACTAAAATATTGGGTCGAACTCCGGAAACAAACACGTCGCGTGTTTGCTTCCCTTCTCGTTTTTTTACCAAAATCGGAATCTAATTCCCGTGAAAATCCATGACCTTTGCGCCGACAGCTCTTGCGTAGTCGGAATGGCTGGACGCGCGGAAGCCTCGGGGTTTTCCCCTTGGAACTGGGAGTGGTGGCTAAGCCATCTGTTGTCCTGGAAACCCGTCGAGAGAGCAGAGACAGTCGCCTCTGCTGTCTTGGCGAATCCGGTATCCCGGCGCGCCGGCAGCAGCCCTTCCTGGTGCCAACACCACCTAGACAGAAGGCCTCCACACGCGTCATCATAGTCAGATCGATCGAGGCGAGAGATTGGGCACGAGTGCTGCGTCAGTGTTCGGCTGCGGCTCGTGGCCAATCAGCGCGTCGAAGGTCGGGCTCGGGTCCAATAGCCGACCGAGTGCGATCCGACTGTGATGACGTTTCATAGAAGAAGAGGAAACAATGCGCAGGCCTTCTGTCTAGGTGGTGTTGTGCAGGCGCGCTTTATGCAAATGGGCGGTGTAGAATGTCTTCTCGTCGTAAAATATTTGCTGTGAACATCCATTGCTTTGACTGCACGTGTCGAACAGCAACGGTGGGGGCTACGCGCTCACCGGACTAATACACCGCCTCCCTCTCATCACCTGACCCCGACCTCAACAAGCGGGTATGGGTCAGAGCGCAGTCTAACGAGCACTTAGCTTCCACCGCACTACCAGTTTAGGGGTGAACGGAATAAAGACAAGACACACTCGCTGGGAGTGGGAAGCGCATCACGAGGCCTTGTCCGTCTCGCCGGTTCACAGCCGAGAAATCTGCACCCCTGAAAAGTGTTTTCTGAGACTGTCCCACGTATCACTCACCTCCCTCGGTTGGTCTTCAAAACGTCGAGCGCCGCACATACTTCGTCCCAAGCGTACAGCACGTCCTTTTTCTCAGTCAGACGGCTGCAAACGGCGAACCGGAGCACGAAGACTCCGCGCAACTTTGTTGGGGTCAAGTGCACTTTTCTTCGTTCGTTCAGGATCTGCAGCAAATCTTCGTTGTCGGCGTTGGAGCCCTGCGACAAGAAAAAGTATCAGTCACCGGTAACTGGGCAGTTTCCAATAAGAAAAGAACCCAGTTACGTTTAGTTCCTGGATCGCCGATTCATGTGTATTACTACAAAGCTACTGAGGATCAAACAAACAAACTTGAAAAATATGTCGCGTTGTTTTAAGGGGAAATCCTCTGTCAGTCTTCGTTTCGATGAATTTTTTTATTATTATTATTTACTAAAGAAAACCTGCAGCGCCGAAACTTCGGCATTATAACAAGTACAGCCCATGGACGCTCAATAAAGAACTAAAAAACAACACTTGAATATACAAAATCAACTGCCAAAAAAGAGAATACAAAAATAAGAACATTAAAAATAAAGACCATTTCCTGATGTAAATGGTTTCACGTCATCATTAATAAAAAAAAGACTCGAGTAACAGTTCCACTGACCGATTGTGTGTGAAAAAAAATGAAAACTTCTTATATGCTGCTCTACAGAAAATTTCCCTTATCTTTCTTGAATGATGCACACGATTTGAAATATAATTAGGTAATTCAATGTATTTGCTTTTAGCAATACCTGTCAAATCGTTAAAAATTGCGAGCAGGAAACTCAATCGAAAATCTTTGCGTCTTAACAATAAAGTTTCCCTACCAAGTACATTTTTAATCTCTAACGCTATTGTTTCTACTATAATTTCCTGTCGCAAATCTCGCCGCACGATTTTGAAATTTCTCCAACTTATCTGCAAGGTACTTCTGGTGCGGATCCCACAAAACACATGCGCCGCAAAATGGCAGTTTGAGCCTCATGCCTCCGCTTTTCACGCCATTGTGCACAGGACTTTTGAGGTGCAAAACAGCAATGCCATAACCTTAAAAAATATTTAAAAAAACGCTGCGTTTTTTTTTCTTTTTTTTTTTTTTGTTAGAGAAAAGGAACAAGCAGATGCACTTGGCTCGGCTCCTCGTTCGAGATGTATGTTCACATGTGGTCCAGTGCGCCCATCTTCCTCTGAGAGGTCTGGGTGGCTTGGAAAGCTCTTTCTGCTGTCCCACGTGGTGCAGTAGGGAAAAGATAATCGACGATCGAGTAACGCAGACCACTGGCCACATACCGGCGGCTGTTCTTCCATTTTCGCTCGGCCACATACTGCGGATTCTTTAAAGCCGTCTTTGCTGCAGTACCAACTGTTTCAACTGTATAAATGTCTGTACAGCAGCGAAGTATAAATTAAACAACCTTAAATGTTTGAACAGTCTGATTGGGACACGCGTGTCAAAAGTGTAATTTTATGCGAAAAAAAGAAATAGAACAATATTGACGGCACGAGACGCGATTTAGTCGCTAGTTTTCTCTCGGCGTTTCGGGTGCGTGTAGGACTAAAGCCCCTCTTATCCTGGGAAAAGTGGCGACATTCATTGTTGTGGAAATGCTCGAGGCACGTGCCGCGCGCCACTTCTGGGAAGAACATGGCGTCTGAAATCTAGCTCAGTGCTGCTTTGCTTTGTGCCGCCATGATCTTCCCAAGAGCTGCACGTTGCACGTGCCTCGTGCATCGACGCACCTTGCGCTACTTTTGAAACATGAAGGGGCTTTAGTGGAGGAGAGGTGGATCGGCTTCGCCTTCACGTTGAGTGGGAAAGACCGAATGACCATCTCGTTGAGCGAATGACCATTCCGTGACGTCGTGGACTTTGCGCGCAGAAATTCGAATAAATCTCTCGCAGTCCATATTGCTCTAAACATTTTTTTCGCGTAAAATTTTTTTCTTGACATGCGTGTCCCATGCTAAATGCTTAAAAAAGTTTTTTTTTTTTGTGTTTTATTTTCAGGGGCTCTTTAACCTACGTGCGCAGCAACAGTCAGTGCGAAAACACTGCCTTTGGGCCGAGTTTCAGACTTTGCCATTGAAGTTTCACTTTATCACAGCTGGGGTTTCCGGCGTCGAGTTTTCGCAAGTCAGTGTAATTCATATTTATGTTAAACAAAATTCGGCAATTATCGTCATTTTTTTTTTTTTTAAATTTCGAATGGGCGCTATTGAAAAGGGTGAAATTTCCACGAAGGAGCAAATAAGCGCAATGGCAGCATAGGACACGATAAACATGCTGATTCTTTGTTCATTTGGGGCAAAAAATTGCACAGTTGACTTATCGTCGTCACGCCGCGCTGTCAAAGAGCAAAATCTTTTTGAAACTATTTTGTTCGAGTGGCAAGTAGAGTTATGTACAAAAAACAATATTTCTTTTTAAATTTCCTTTAATTTGCGATGACTTACCTTAAATCGGAAGCAGACGAGGGCAAGTGTAACTGGAACAACCACTTCGAACCTTTTATCCTTCTTCACCAAGGCCTCGAACTCCTTGGCAAGCTCAATATGCTAAAGACAAAATGATCACACAATTAGAGATACGACATCTACGTACACTGCGCGAAACTGCGGGCACAAAAGGTCGCTGTTCTTTTTCTTTTTTTTTTTCCCGTAAAATCGAAAGAACTTTAAAAGCTACTAGCAGTATAGTGTATATCGCTCATTTGGGGCACTGATCCAAGCGGTAAGATGTAATGCCCGTCAATTCCCTTTTAAATTAAAATGCGAAAAAGCGCCAATGTCGTGTTCGCGCAGTCTACACCTGAGTACAAAAGGAAATGACCCAGAAATGCCGAACAGCTCACCTCACGTATATACCGTTGCAACCCGGAGAGTCCGTAACAGCGAAACACGAACCATAGCTTGAGAGACCGGAATCTCCTTCCAAGTGGAATGGCCCAATGCTGGATGATAACGCACCATTATAATGCATCTAATATCAAACACAAACAATTTAATGAGCAATCACAAAAACAAAAAAAAAAAACACGTTACCCTGTAATCTGGAACTTTGCCACCCTGGTTTTCGTGCTTCAAATAAAGTGGGTTCACTTTGAAGGCCTCTTCGATGTCACTTCTGTCTCTGAACCTTTAATTTGAGACACCGAGTGTTACTGTTCGGTAAATAAAAGAGATGTCTATTGAACCGCACAGAACAGTTCCTCCGTGGAATGCGTCGTAAATTCCAAGTAGGGTGCAACTAGGTTAATGGATGTATGATTACTGTTCTAGCATGCATACTTAACTGATTGAGTGCTGACTTTAAAAAATGCCATTTTCATTTAAACTAGGGTCAAGTTTATAATTCCCCACGCGCTGAAACTTTCAAAACACGCGCCCACCTCCTGATTTAAGGGGGGACACTACCTGGGCATGTCTACTTCTGAACCGCTCACTTAATCGGCTTGAAATATGCAGGTGGTGTTTGCAGCCATATAGAAGAAGGGCATGCAAAGTTTCAGCCCTGTGAACCACTTTTATGAGGTTCTATACCCTCCCAAACGAAGTAAAGCATAGCTTTGCATAGAATCTGCTAAATGAATCTATCGTTAAGAAATGGTGTTGATCGCCACGTATTTTTCTGGTGTAATTATACTGAAATACTTGTTGCCGGTTGCTACGAAAAGAAATTAAAAAAAAAAATATGCATTTTTCAGGTAAAAAGAAATTTATGAAATTATTATTATTATTATTTTTCACATTTGTCAAGTTTTGCAAATTACAATTTTTCATAATAAAGAAACATGAAAATGCAAAATCTAAGTTCATAGTAACCGGCTCGATAAAATTTCGGCATATAATCCGCAAATATTAAGTCTCTCGGTAGTTTCATATTGGAACAATAGATTTATAAGGTGGGATTTGCTGCCAAAAAGTGAAGCCGAGATAAATGCACTTGAAGATTCAAGATGACGTTTTAAAAATTTATTTTTGCATCTTAAATGTCAGAAATTCTTTCCAGCAGCATAGGTGATGTCTTCCTCAAACTTTTTCCGATATACTGACATTGCTTTCAGCTATTTTCACTTTTGGATGACGAGTGCTACGCAGTGCCGCATGTTTCACCAACATATAAAGAATAATTATTCTTGACATTGCTTGTCAGTGCACATTGACAAGACTTTGAGTGTTCCTTGTTATCCATACATGGCAAAACTCTGCAATTCTAAATATGTTTTCTTTTTTTTTTTTAAAAAAAAGGTGCAATTCAAGGTAGTGTCCCCCCTTAATGAAGCTCAACTCACAGCATCAAGAAACCTTTTCGAAGCCCACGCAATCCACAGCACAGTTTCTGTACAATCTGATCCAAGTCACTTAGTTCTTTCAACGATCCTCGTTTCGAAAAACAATAGCAACTTCCGACTACGAGGCAAAATACGGGGTTTGTCACGAGCAAACGACATGACGACACACCTTTAACTTCGACTCCCTAAATAAGTGATTCAAAATTATTCCAGCTTTCTAAATTCGCGAACAATTTTGAAAATTATTCTTAACACTTACCACATGGCCGAGAGGTCGACGCCAACCAAGAGCCATTTGTGAGGGTTGAGGCTGAACGAGGACACGTGCTGGAAGAAGGAAAAAAAAAAAAAAAAAAAGGTAAGAAACCTCAGTTTTTTCTTGACCGACGTCGCGAGGAGCTGCAATTTCGAGTTTGGAATCTGACCTCCACTCCCTTCATGTAGTGTCTGAATTCGGGGCAGATGAAAGCCGATCCGGCATACGCAGCGTCCACATGAAGCCAGAGTCCCTCTGCGGTGCCTGACGTGAGTCACAGAACACGGCCCTCAGATTGTGCGTGTGGAGTTGCTGACAAAATGAGAACGGCAGGGGGGTCCTTCAATCGTCCCGCCTCCAGCACAAGCTGCCTGCCTTCGATAACACGTCGGGGTTTCGTAAGCTTCGCGCGTGCACGCGCAGTCAAAGCACGACGGAAGGCAGCGAGCACGTGCTGGACGCCCCGCCGTTCGCATCCTGCAGGCTGCCAGTAGCCACAAAAGATTTCGCCCAGAATGACGTTGGTATACACACAGCTGCCTGGCACGCGAATGACAGCGTTATCGTAACATGATCAAGGCAAGGGTGAAAACGTAGGGCGAGCTGGATTAACTCCACTCGAAACAAAGTTGCGCCCTATAGACTGGACAGTGACTGTACCTAAGATATATATATATATATATATATATATATATATATATATATATATATATATATATATATATATATATATATATATATATATATATATATATATATATATATATTACTCTGTACCCTACTATCGGGTATACCCGTGTACCAAGATCTGAAAATTCGGGCTTTAATCTGGAAAGTCCTTAAAAGTTATGCTCAAACCTGCTCCCGTTTCTTGCTTTCTCCCAACGGCTAACAAGCGTTGTTAGCATGTTGCTGCAAGCTTTCAATAAAAAGACGACCACAAGTTAGGATAACTACTGCTATTCTGCGTCCAAAAAAAGCCATAATAGACCCTTTTCAGTAGTCCGTCCAGCAACATTGGCGATCGGTATTTCTTGGACTGGGAAAGAAAGAAGGAAAGCTGCAGAGAACACTTATGGCTGAAAGGAGTAACATGTCTGAACACTCTTCTGGGGTTTGCTTATCTAAAAACAGGAAATGACTCAAGGGAGGAAAATACAGAACACTTTACATGTAAATCGAGGGCCATCAGAGAAATTGGCCTTAACCAGGAAATAATTATCATAGGAGACGTGAATGCCCACTTAGAAAAGTGACGGATTTACAGATACAACCGGAGCGTTGCTAAAAGATTTGTGATGCCCTGGGCCTAGTGTTAGTTAATGCACAAGTAAAATGCGACGGGAAAATAACGTGGGAACCAAACAGCTCACATTCAACAATAGAATACTGCCTCATGTCCCACAAACTGTATGACGGGCTATGTAGTATGAAAATAAATAAGGAAGATACAAAAAGCTTAGGGAGTGACAACAAAAGAATTAAGATTAAAGCGGGCGCATCCGAACCAGAACAACAAGCTCAGGAACGAGCGGGTAAGCCGAAACTAAGTGAAGCTCAAATACAAAAACTATCTAAAAGTATTGAGAACATATTATCGAAACAACCAGAAAGAGAGTGGGCGTATGAGGATTTAATAGGAATCTTTAAAAGAAAATGAGAGAAGTATCAAATTAAACGAAAAGAAAAGCAAAAACGAAGACACAAACTAAAAAAAACTGGTAGGATAAGGAGGTCATAGCAGCCATATTGCGGCGCCAAGGGGTGCCTGGGAGCATAGGTGGGCAAAGAAAAGGGGAGCCTTGCCAGCTGCAGTAACATCAAAGTGGGAGAACTTGCAAGAGTGGAAAAGGGAGACATTAGCTTTAATACAGTCCGAAATTGGGAGTGCTGGAGTGCAGTGGATGATCGAAATAAATAAACAAAATAATCTGGCAAAAAAAAAAAAGTTTTGGCAGCACATTAAAGTGCAGAGGAGAAAGCCAGAGGGTTTCTATCTAAGACGTACTGACCACACAGGATGGGTAAAGAGTAAAGGGGGAAAAAGCACGTGAATATATCAGGCAGCCAATGGAAGAGGCTTCTCCCAGCTTGAGCAGAGGCAGACAGTGGATAGCACTGACAGCAGCAGTGTTTAGGAGGAGTAGACTTGTGTAACAATGGAGACCACACAAGAGAATGGGATAAGGTAGAGTCGCTCTCTATTTAGCGAGACTAGGATAAGGCATAAAGTAAGGTTTCAGCAGGTACAGCGACAGGCCCAGAAGACATACCCATGGAACTCATTTGGTCACTAGGAAAAACAAGCAAATTAAAGTTACGGTTTTCGCCCTGCTTTCCCTGAAGGGGTAACAGATTTGGCTGGGGCTCTGGGTTTTGCTAGCGACGGTGGAAGGACGGAAGAGAAAAAGATTGCAGTCACAAAGAGGCGATTAGAAGATTGCAACCAAAATTATCTAGGGAAAATTGAATGATACAGAAGTACCTAGCACAGCTGGGGACAGCGCGGGCCAGAGGAAAATTGGGACTCCCTCCCGCGTGGCTCCGGCCAAAAGTCTCAACCCTGTTCTTCAGTGAGTCCGGTGCTGGGGTAATGCCGACAAGGTTTGACCAGAGGAAAATTGGCGCCTCCCTCGCCGGGGAAAAAGGGCGAACATTGGTGTTTTTTAGTGTTTTTTTTTTCTTTTGTCCGATCCCCCAAAGGTCATCTATGGTGATATTCCACACTGCCTGGTGATAGTTAGGGGGAGAAAATTGGCTCAGAAGGGCGGGATGAATCATATGTTTGTCTTTTTAGACTTGGGCTAGGTGGCGCAAGGCGCCGCCCGTTACAAAGGGTATAGCCATTAACATCCACCCATCCAGTGGGGGGCACGAAGCGTGTGATTGGATCCGAGTTCTCGACGAAGGCTGGCGCGCAGCCTTCGTGTCCAATACTTGCTCAGCGTACGTGCCCAAGCATTGACGGACAGGCAATGGCGTGCACTTTTGAAAAGGGCCTATTCAGCTTCGCGTAAATTTGTATACGTATATTTTTGTTTTAAATAACACAATAAATCTATGTTATTCAATTCATTACAGTTAATAAAAATTAACAAATCGCAAAGGCTATACTCCGTTCACCCCCAAACTGAGGCTGCGGTGGGGGCTATGTACCTGCCGGACCAAACACGTACCCACCTCCCTCTTATCACCTGACCCGGCTCTCCGCGTGTGGGTATGGCCGCGCGAGCGTGATGACATGGCGAAACAGATGCGTATGACTAGTCCACCGAGGACGTAGCTTCCACCACAGTATCAGCTTAGGGATGAACGGAGTATACACGGGCACAGAAGGTTCTGAAGTCCATTGTCCCTTCGTCCTTCTGCGTTTCATAATCGCACACTATTCTGTCTTCATCTATTTTGTAGTTGTTTATACCTGGCCTTTGTAATTATGAAGCACGTTTTCGCTATTGCCAGGACTGTTGTTTGCTAAATAATAATTTTTGTGGAACTTACACACTGCTCCCACCTCGGCGAGGTTGTCATAGGCGCAAGAGTTTGTAGTCCCTAGAGTGGCAACCACCTGAAGAAAAAAGTATATTTACGAAATTTAAGTATCCTTGACTATGTTGTTCCTATATGCATTGCAGCGTCCATCAAACCAAAACGCTTTCTTAAAGTTCAGACCTTTCAAATTCTGTAGCCAATAAAAATATCAAGTAAGCTATAGCAAACATTCGAGGGTGTATTTCGCATGTCCGCGGTTAATGACTGCCTGGAAGTACATCTTGTTTCATCGGTAAATGCCACGGGAGTCAATCGAGCGCGGAGAGCATGTCCTGTGACTTTATGCAAGGCGCGTCGCAACGTGTGACTTGCCCTCAGCTCGTCATTGGCTCCGATGGCTTATACGTCCGCTGAGGTCCATCGAACTAGCTCTCGACGTTAAGTCGAGCCCTCATGCCACAAGCGAAAAGAAGGCAACCCGACTGGGCGATTGTTGGTGGTGCCACGTTGTAGTCCCCTTTTGGCTGCCCGTGTAGAAACGCTAAATATTAGGGACTTTTAGCAAACCGTTACCGTGCTTAAAGGGATGCTGAACCGAAATTGGGATTTCGCAAAATAAGGCCGCAGATGCGTTGACCTAGACCTCGCTCGTACGTCGACATCTCAAACGGATGGCCGTATTTTTCGGAAAAGGGCGCGATGAAGAAAGGACTTTGACGTCACGATCCTCTTGGAACAGTTGAGAATGGAGGGAAGCGTCCTCGCTCCTCTCCTCCTCGCTTCGGTTCACCCGCTCGACGGAACGAAGCGAGGAAGAGAGGGAATGAGTCGTGACGTCACATGTCTCGTCGGCATCGTCGGCCATGTTCCATCGCGCATTTCTTTTCCAAAAATACGGTCATCCGTTAGAGGTATATCGCTGTATGAGTGGTGTTTTTGTGTTCTGCAGCGCCCAACCTATCGCACCAGCCTGTTTTCTGAGCTCGAAATTTTGTTTCAGTATCACTTTAAACGTGCGCCCAGGCGATACCGTGACCGCGAGGCGCGCGCTTAAAAGCATGCTTCAAAGGTTCCGGTAGTGCGGTACGCGGAACGCGGTAACGGTTTGCTAAAAGAGCGTTCATCATCCAAGCGAAGAATACCGAGTCTGTACGCACGTACGGTTTCCGATATTTATCAGAAGTGAGCTACTGGAGCATACGTAGGAGAGAGATTATTCGAATGGTTTCGGAACACAAACCTCAACCTGTCACTGCTTGAAGTTGTAAATTTATCGAGTCCTACTAAAAAATCTGAAAAAGCTGGTAAATAATCGTCATAAAAAAAAAAAAGTGAATAGCAACAAGAGCGAAACGAGATAATGGACAGGACAAAGGTTTGATTCATTGATGCGAGGAAGAAAAAGGGACGCTTACCGCCATCGGGATGAACCCCAGCTTCCTGTCCTCCTGAATGACTTTGAGCAGGGTGGCGCCACGAACACTCAGCTCGTCGTCTGTGCTCACCACGTGCAGACGCACAGACGCGAGGAGAGCAGCACGCTCCACCGACGAATGCGCCTTGCGGGATCCGAAACATACAAAAAGATCGTATTGTCTCCCTAATTAGGGCCGAGGAGACTTCAGTGTCCCGGTCTAAGTATACGTGCTATGGTTGAATTAGTCCAAATAAGGTATAGGGTAATGGGAGAAGGAAAAGCAATTGTTCCCCGAGAATGCCTTTAATTGCGAAGAGCAAGAGTTGAAATTTTGCTATGGCTTAAAGCCCGTCTGCAGTTTCTCTTTCTCATTTCGGACTTTTTTTTATTTTTACGTGCTTGTGCGTTCAGTTCTAACGTGTAGCCTTCGATACTGCAGTTGCACACATGCTGTTGGGAAAGTTAAGATTTTGTCAAAGTTGCACGAATATTCATGGAACGCATTTGTTTCGGACGAACAGAGAAAAGCGACTGTGACATTTTGCGTGAACGGAACTGTTACAGGTATTTGTGACCTTTTCTATAGAAAATAATATGGTCCAATGTTCCCGTTTTATTTCCGCGCATAAACATTTTTAGTAAATTGGCTAAGCCTTTTTTTTTTTTCCCCGAACGCGCACAAACAAATTCTAAGCAGCAAATGGCAACTTTTTTCTAGTCTTTCTGGGAGATTGATTTCAAATCTGGCCATGTTCGGTGTGCCGAGTACAACTTATGTTTATGTTTATTTTACATAGAAATCTGCAATGTGCATTATATCTATGTAAATATAATTATATCATTAGCTTACGTGCGAATGTGACGCGAAGTTTCAGGTGAAATTTGTAAGTTATATTTTACAAGTAAACAGAACGCTTTCCTTGTGAATTATTCACAGAGGAAAGAGGAACGGGATTTCATTCCTGATTGTGAGCAAGCAACCTAAATAGTACCCGCCTAGCCCACACAACCCATCCTTAGCACACATCATTCAATTAGCGTCCAAACTTATGTGTGTGCTTAGGTGTATGCTTATACAGCCTGAAGTTAGTCTCACAACGGGCGACTTGTCTCTCAGCTGCAGATGAACAATTTAGCCACAACCGCTAGCCTGGGGTCTTTAACGTGCACCACGCAGTCGTTAATTCACGACCGCGTGCCGGTACGATGCTCATCCAGATTGAAGCGGGCAGGGGTGAAAATTGAGCCCAGGATCCCTGGGTTCTGCAGCGCGAGCTTTCGCTCCACGTGCTCCGAGCTGGGGTGCGCTAGCCCGCTCGGCCACCGGTCCCCCTCGAAACTTATGAACGAGTGCGGCATAGATTTTGGTCCACATTGGATGACCTGGCTTAGTAGGAATATCCGGCATGCTGAGCCTGTGCCGCATTGCTGTTATGCAGATAATTATTCAAACCTTCTCAAAACTCCCAAGACGGACTCATTGACCGAAAAATTGATGTCATGCGTGTATACCTGGCAGGATGTATAGACGACCAATTTGTCCCAGACTTGGCATGGAGTGAGCGAAGGGTTTTGCTGGAGCACTTGGGTCGTCATCTTCGTTTTTGCTGCCAAGACTGCCGTCAAAGTGCATTCGCTGGCAGTGCTCTGAAATGAGGTAGCAGCGATAAATATTTTGATGCACTCTGATAGAAAAACCGGTGTTAGTTGTGCATTACGTGTATGTAGACAAACGTAAACGTACGATACTATAAGGCAATGCTTTTATTATGTCATCTTTTATGAATCTCACTCCTCGCGTTGTCACTTTTTCCCCAGATGTACTGAGACGGTGGCGTACAAACAAGAAAGTTAACTGCACCGCCACCTAAAGTCTCTCGTCTAAACTTCTTGGCTCATTTTCGAAGCTACACTGTCGACAGCTTGTGGCACTAGATATATTCAATTTCCCAATCATATACCTATCGTACAAAACAGTTCTTTGGGTTCTGAACCTTTCTTGAGTTAAGGTAAAGCCCCTGAAACCAAGGGTCGCGTTCAGTGTGCTCTTTGCACTCTGAACGCGGTAAACATGTGCACCACATGTTTATCAAATTTGAGAATTCCTGATTACCTGGGGACGAGAGTTACTTTAAACCCTGTCACAACTGTTCTGAACCGAGTTAAAAAAAAGTTGCAGAGGAAACCTACGACGTTTTATGTTCTCCTTCTTGACGTTTGTGTTTTCCTTTCTTATTCTTCCGAGATAGTTGGTTATAACTTATAGCTGACCATAGAAAAACGGTTCTAATTTAATGTTTTATTCAAAGACCAATCATGAGACATCTCAGACATGACTAAGTTTTTTCCGAGAACTTCAAAATTCGATTATGTGGTTCAGAGGTGAACAGAAAATAAAATTAATCAGGCACAGCATTTTGCCTGTCTATTGTTTGCGATTGATCTTACCACGATAATAAATTCTATCAATCCTCCGTAGTTTCGGAAATGAGGAGGTTGTTGGTATACATAGTGTGCTTAATAAAGCAAATATATATGTACATACATATATATTTTTTTTATTTGTGCGCTTAGGCCTGGTGTAATAAGGGTCGAATAGACAAATCGTGGACCGATATGAAAATAAGCCTAGGAAATTGGTCGTCTTGGGCGATTGGGGAAAGAGAGGAACTATCATCACTATAGCTTAGCTCCATGCTTATTTGCTTTGACGTGAAAAAAAAAGAAAGCTCAAATAATAAGGAATATCTTTTTGTTGGTATCCTTTTAGGTGATGTTTTCCAACGACGTATTCGCCAGGCACATGCACCAAGAGTTGGAAAGGGTGTTGGGGGTATCTTGGGAATCGGATTCTATAATTTACTTAAAGAGTTCGATTCATCGAGTCCAAGAGAGCAAACAAAACGGTCATAGTATTTTTTTTTTTTTTTTTTTGGTTTTGCCGCACGTTGTGAGTCCTCGTTGTCTCTAGCACGTACCAATAAATTTGAACTCTACGCACTACGACGATATCCGCTTGTACCGAGCTTACAGACAAAAATATACGAGTCGTACCTGAATGACGCCTCCGCCGTGGATACCTGGTGTTGAGAACAGGAAATGGTCTGGAAGCTCGATGGCTTTTCCAAGCCAGTCCATCACCACCATCTCCAGCTCGGTACTGACTGGACTCGCAATCTGGGAACGCATTAAAGAAGCGGTGTCGGTAGATTGTTTCCGTCGCCCCTAGTACGTAATATTTAAAGTATATGGCCGCCGTCGAATTTCAAGGAATACTGTGAATTGCTGATATTTCCCAGGCAACACGCCTGAGAAATGCCTAATCCCAAGGGCCTAACATGGGCCTAATTAAGATTTTGCTCTAAGGTTATTGTAAAGGCCGAAGTACTTTTTTTTTTTTGCCCTAACTAGTCGGAGAAAGGACGAGTCCGACTTTTCTTTTGTTTGCCAGAAAATTGTCAAAGTAGCAGGCATGTGCCAAGGATGCCACCCGACTATGGAAATAGGAAACCTCCGGAAGCGACATGACGCCACAACAAGTGTGGAGGGACACACCCCCAACGATGACCAAGACCACAGCTGTTTTGGTCATCCTTGGGGGCGTGTCCTCCACACTTCTTCTGGCTTCACCTCTGGTGGCGCCATGTCACCTCCAGAAGTTTCCCACCTCCCTGCACCCGACAATCGAGCAACCATTAGTGAAGTCTAATCCTAGCGTTTTACTCGGAAATTGAGGCCCAAAGGTGCCCAGATGACAACTGAACAACCGGACAAATTCATGCCGGATGTTCTTACGTATATTGTAGGGGTTTGCGAATATCGTTTTCGAATGGAATAACGCAGTGTCATCGCTAGTTTCAATACTGTAAAGAGAGCCGGTATATGTAGTGGCTCTCCCTTCTACTTTGATGGTTACGGAAGATGCGGCGCTATTCGAATCAAATCGATGCTGGTAATTTTTAATAGGAATGTGCGTAATAGCTGCTCGAATCGAACAGCGCTGCGTCATTCTCAGCTTTCACAGGGCAAGCGAATGTCGTCGCAGCACACTTGCAGTGTTGAAGCTAGGAATGACACATCGCTATTCAATTCGAACCTCACAAACCCGTAAATTGTGATCTGCGCAGTGTTGCGGACAACGAAAACCCCCAAACTTAAAAGGGAACAGCGAGGCTATTCCGTATGTTCGCTAACCAGTGAACAAAATAAACTTAACGCTTCAGAACAAAAACAAACATTAGCTCTCTTTATACACGAAAGGCTGTGCGGAAACAAAATGCACAGATAATCAAATTGTTCTTCAGCATCAACTACTTACCTAGAGACTAGACTAGATAAGGAGTACTAGTTGTTATCGTTGGCTAATCCCAAAATAATCAGGTCAGTCGTGACAGAAGATGGAAGGGCAGGCCCACTACTAAGGAACCATGTAACCCCAAGATAGCAAAAAAAAATTGGCACTGCGGGATTATTAGGATGACGTTACAGTCGGGTATGATCGTTAGGGCGTTAATGGTCATGGTCAGTCACCTACCTTTTCATGACTCATTCACAAATGGATTGAGCTGGCGATAGTAAGAATATCACTCAAAAGTCTAGTTGGGGAAAAGATTTATTTAGGTCTTTTGTTACCCCATTCGACAATCACGTTTTATGGGTTGTGCTGCGGTGATAAAATTTGCTTACCCAAGAAAAACCCACGATGGAAAGCGTTGAGCTGAGCATATCTGCAAGTAAAGATGGTGGACTGTTTCCAGTCGGGAAGTACGCATGGAATTGTGGGGATTGCCAGTGGGTCATCTATAAAAGGGAGAGAAGTAAACAAAAGAGAAATGGTTACAGGGTATGAGACTTAGCATCACTTTTGCTCAATTGTTCACCGCTTTCTGACGGTTTACTTTATACGTTAAGTGAATATTCAGAATGGTTTGGTTTCTGCATATGTATAAAGCGAGATAACTAAGAACAAAACATGATATTACGATACTCTGCTTCTATATTATCGTGGTTGCCTCTTCAATAATTTTATCGACAGGTCACTGTAGCATTTTCCGAATTGGTAATGTTTCGTCTTTGAAGGTGATACTCAGGTCCAGGGAGAGTTCTACACTAAAGTCTACCATCCAGTGCCACGATTTTTAACGTAAGCACACTGTGTTATTAAGGATCTTCAGGTTCGTTTTAAAAAAGCCATGAAAGCCTACACTAATGTGGTTGGTATGCAAATGAGTTATAAAGCCAGGGGGACATCAGTTATAAGGCCAGGGGGATCGTCAGAATACATCCAGAAATTAACCAAAATTTTTTCATCATCCTTTTAGCTCCTGAAAATAACCATATGCTTCCAATTAGAAACTTACTGAGCGTCACCGAAAGCGACTAATAACCCTGTCAGACGGGCATTTTAAACATCTTTAGAACAAGTTCCTTTATAAAATCGGCAAACCAGCAACTGGCTTTAGAGCACGTGCGCACTCAACATTGCCGTGCTGACTGGCCAATTCTATAAAAAAAAAAAAAAGCTTAGTCAAAAGGACCTTTAGAGCGCCGTCTGACAGGGGGTATTAATCGGTAAGTTTCAGCAAGACAAAGCGCGTGAGAAGCGCGGTGGTGCACTAGAGTTACCACTCGTGCAACAGGCTCAAGACTGACGGCGCGAAAACGCGGACGCTAATCGCGCGGGGGTGTTATCATCAGCATTTTCTCATCGCTAGCCTTGCACCCGTTGCACAAATTGCAAAAAAAAAAAAATAAAAAAAAAATTGTGGGGTGTGTATGTTTATACAGCCTAGAACTTGGTCTGCCTCAATGGGCGACTTGTCTCTCCGCTGTAGATGAGAAATTTAGCCAGTGCGGCACAACCGCTAGCCTGGGGTCTTTAACGTGCAGTATGAACCAACTGTACCCTACAGCGCCACCATAAACTTAGTTCCTGTATTTTTTTTTTATTTCTATTTTTTTTGCGCGCTGTTTACCTTTTTGACTCCGTCCTAGTTGGAAGGGAAACGTATCCCGTACGACTTAATGGGTAGTTTTTGTAGATCGTTCTCGCCGCCCCGCATCGGCTCTCCGCAACCTGCTACGATAACCGGAAATCCACAGTCAAAGTCATCGGCGCGCAGTCGCAGTAGCGGCTCCGTTGCGGAGGGAGAAACGCGGTCTACGAAACCTCCCTAAGTTACTGACACCGACTATAACTTTTTCAAAATCAGGAAGGCAGAATCATATCACCCTTTCACTAAGCACCTTCACCGTTGAATGAACAGCGAAACCGGTGAGTCGACTGTCTTTGAGTCACATCTAAAGAAGAAGCCATTCATCATCCTTGTTCAGTATGTTTAACTTTGAGGCGCTGAGGCTGTTGCAGTGTAAACAGGAATATCGGAGTTTTGGTACAGCCGCCAGAATTTTCAACAATTCGCGGCGTGAAAGAGCAGGGCAGCGAGACTACGCGCGCTCGGCAGAAGGCACACGCCTAGCCTCGCTGACTTGCTGTTTCACTCCGCGATAAGTCGCAAATCTGCAGGCCGGTCGGCGTTCGCGCGATATTGTTAAAAAATCTGGAGGCTGTGGTATGTATGTAAATATACGGTAAATATAATGAGGCATTTGAAAAGTACTATGTCAGACTAATTTCATTACTTTTGGAAAATAATTGTAATGTAATGTCATTACTTTTAGTATGCGGTAATTTGTAATGTAATTTGATTGCATTTTCACTGTTTTTAGAAAATTAGTAATGCAAGTTAATTACTTTTTGAAAGTAATTTTTTCATCCCCACCCCTGCCCTCTGAGCTCATGGTATGCACCGCACCTGTGTGCGGTCGTGTATCACTGTTGCGTGATGCACGTTGAAGAGCCCAGGCTAGCGGTTGTACTGCACTGGCTAAATTTTTCATCTACAGCTGAGACACCAGACGCCCATTGGGGTTGTCTAACTTCCCGCCGTTTAAGCATACGCTCGATTCATTTTAGGATGAACTCAGCCACTGAATTGTGACGCTGGTTGAAATAACGCGCTGAAACGCTTACCCCTGGCAGGATGATCTGCTCAATATCCTTGAAGACGTCCTCCCACTTATCGGGTTCTTGAGGCGCTTCCTGTGGCAGCAGGCTCGGCAGGTATCCAGGCGAGACGTCGGGTAGGACCGGGCGGTCTCTGAGGCCGTTCCAGTACGAGATGGCGAAGTTGATCATCTGGTTCCCTGCTTGCCGAAACTGCTCGTCGTCCATGGTGCTCTAAGGACGCACTCGTCCTCGCCGAGAAATCTTGATTAGCCCGTCGCAGTTCACTCTCGAAGATGGCAGTTCTGAAGAACCTGCGGGTTTCCCCAGCTTTGTTATAAAACTACCATAGGCGGTACACCTGCTTCCGCAAGTGTTCACGATCAAGGGCAGTTACGGTCTGGCGGGATTGTTAATTTTTTTTTCGCTGAAGCTTAACTGACGAAGATGCGCGCTTAGTTCGTTACGGTGCACATCCCGAAGTAATGCGGAGCGCAAATTCGTTTGCTTCTTGCACAGGGGTTGCGATGATGTCAAAACACCGAGCTCTTATTGGCTGACTGAAAGAAAAAAAAAAATGTTGGTAGAACTAGACTTTATAGGCCCTTTTCAATGGCAAACGCCACCACGTGGTGGCGTTTGCCATTCTCCAAGTGAACGCCTAGGAAGGAGGGAGCGCGAGATCTGTTAAAATTTTTCGAATATTTTTCTAAACCAATTTTCCACCTCCGAGACGTTAAATTGTACAGCCGAAGGGCCTTGTTAAATATTCAACTTTGCTGTCGGTGTATAGCATTTATGCTTTCTAGCACCGACAGGTCTGCAAAGACGGAGGGACCGGAAGTCGCTTGGAACGCAGGCGGCAGTTTAGGCTTGTAAACAATAAAAAGTCTAAATACGGTGTCTCGACACGTGGGTGTGTAAAGGTGCCCTACAAATGTATACTGCGCAGGCAGCGCTTACGTGTTTCCATTAACGGCTGGTGACGTCTGGGCGTTTTAGATAACCGGATAATATTTTGTGTTGCTGGCGCACCAATATGCGCTAAAGTGCAAGTTTGCAGCTCATGCGTTCTTCTTTCTTTGCTGTTCAGGGAACTATCTTACACGTGCGAAGCCCCTGACCGCTCTTATCGCGACCGTTAATTACATCGACGCGCCTGCATGCTGAGTGTGTGGCGTCTCGCGCGCCGTAAACATTGGTCCGTTTCATGTTTCGAAAACACGATTGCGATTCCAAAGCGTGATTCCAGTGGCTGGACTTCCCGCAGTCTTCCCGCTAAAAACGAGACTTTAGAATTGCCTAAAAAATTTAATATACAAGCTACTTCATATACTAATAAAACTAATGGATTCGAATCATCCGCTGTTCCGTGGGCGGAAAATAAATCGTTGTATAGTAGCGCTTACATGTGTTAGCGCCGTCCTCGAAGACGACGAAGAGTACCCCAAGAGCGCTCCACGATCCGCGTGACTTAGAGTTCTTTTCTCGGTAGCCATACCTGCCTGACGTATATTAAATGTCCTTTCCTAACCTTCTCTCGGCCGCCCCCGTCTTCAATGTCGAGACCGTAACATCTCAGAAGTGGGATAGCCAGCGACCACGGCCCACTTCGGATCGAATCCTGCGGCTACGACTTGACACAGCGGCGCCAAACGAAACCTCGACATGGCTGAACCGAACGAGGAAGGTCAGCGGCGCAGCGAACGGAACCGGACCCGACAGACTGCGGCAGCGGGCCCTCCCCGAGTTCCAGTCACCGTACACTACTGGAGCAGGGAGCACAGGCCTTGGCGGTAGCGATGGCGCGACCACGAGCCAAGGTAGTGTGGCAGCTGGAAATCCTGAACTCTCTGACACCGCTAATCAAGGACAAGGAACATCGGTGACGAGCCCATCCATCGTCCCTCCGGCAATTCAAACTGAATTGAATGTACCGACAGGCGACCTTCCTGGACTTAATTCTCTTGTACAGGAGGCCGTACAAGCCGCCGTGCGAGGAGCGATCACGGGCTTGGCTGACCTGCTACGTTCCACAGCTCAGCCCACGAATGACGCAAGACCACCGACAGACTCTGGTAAGCTGGTACCAGTGTTCAACCCCGTGACGAATCCAGCGCAGACCATCGAACATTGGATAAGAAAAGTCGACAAACTCTCTGTGATATACTCATGGAACGAGCGACAGACGTCGTGTTTTGCGCTGACGAAACTGGAAGGAATCGCTAAAACATGGTACGACGGCCTCGTCAGTGTCCAGCGCTCGTGGCTTGAATGGAAGGCGGAGCTGAAGAAAGCTTTTCCACCCGTCATATGCTTACAGCGCCGGCACCAAGAGATGGAAGCGAGACGGAAATTGGCAAACGAAACTGTCGAGCAGTACTTTCATGAAAAAGTCAGCCTAGCTCGACTCTGTCAACTTCCTGAAGATCAGATCGTGGATTATGTCATAACCGGCATCAATGACGAATCTCTCGTTCGAAGTCTCAGCGTTGTCAAATTCCCGACACCGGAGGCTCTGCTGGAATGTCTAAAATGTTTGGACGACCGACTCGCCGTCATTGAGGAAGCGTCCCACCGGTCAGATGTGGCGACCGTTTCAGCGACTGTCAAGACAGTTCCATCGAAACACCGATCCACCCAAAGAGTTGTTAAACGAAAACCGGCCTTCAACTCTAGCGGTGAGCCGCGCTGTTTTAACTGCGACGAATACGGACATATATCTGCAAACTGCAGTAAACCACAGAAGCGAGAACGCTGCAGCAAATGTCAACGGATAGGACATAAAACAGCGGACTGCAGAGCAAGCGCCAAAGGTAGTACGAACGTCAAAAGTCATCACATTGAAGATAAACAGGAAGTGAATGCACGAAACGAGAAGTACTTTCAAACTGCTCTGGTAGACGGGAAGCCCATTCGAGCTTACGTTGACCTTGGCAGTCAGTGCGTTACGTTGCGCAAGATAGATGCCTACGATTTGGGAATCAGCTATAACGAGCCGTCCCGGGGATGCAAGATTGCGAGGCTACGGTTCCGGTCAAGTTCTGCCGTGTGGAATGACGGAAGCAAGCGTCACAGTGGACCAAGCTACAGCCCGCGTTCCAATCTACATTGTTCCAAGTGAAGCGCAAGCGATTCCGCTTCTCGTTGGACAGCCATTTACTGAGCAACCACATGTCACGATCGTGCGAAGAAGGAACACACTTCGCATTTTTGAAGAGAACGGCAGCTTTGCTGATGAAGATGACCTGCTTCGATTCGTTCAAGTTCCTGATCTTCCGCCACGTTCTGTCACGCTCTGGGCCAAGGAGTCTGTCGTGATTCCACCAGACTACGTGTGAATTGTTCGTCTGACGACCAAGGAATCCGCCGCAGGACACGTCTTCGTTGACGCACAATTTCGAACGCAAGAGGGCAGGGAACACTGTCTGCCCGCTTGCGTAATCGACGTCTCGGAAGGCGGCAACACTGTTTTGCCTATTTTGAATGTATCGAAGTCCGACCTCCATGTTTCGAAAGGAGAAGTTGCAGCCAGAGGATCCTGGTGTTCAGGAACAATTGAGACTGCGTGCCAGCGAAAGACGACGGATATGTTGCAACCGATTAAGGCGGAGGATATACGAAAGGGGCCTCAGGTGACTGCTGAAGAATTTGACAGGCTGCTAGAGCTCATTAACGAGTACCGTGACTGCTTTGCCGTCAACGTCTTCGAGCTTGGCTCTACGAGTGCGACAGAGATGAACATCGAGACTGTTCCTGGGGCAAAACCAGTATCTTTTCGTTCATACCGGCTGTCCTACGACCAACGCACTCGAGTAAACAAGGCCGTAGAAGAACTGAAAGAAGCAGGTGTTGTCCGCGACTCATCATCCGAGTATGCGAGCCCACTACTTGTCGTAAAAAAGAAAACCGGAGAGGAACGACTTTGTGTTGACTACAGAGCGCTGAATGCGATTACTAAGAAGGATAAGTATCCTCTACCTCTTATCGAAGATCAGCTGGACCGACTCCAGGGAAACTACTGCTTTACGACGCTTGATCTGGCATCGGGCTACTACCAAGTTCCAATGGCTGAGGAGTCCCGAGCTAAGACTGCTTTCGTGACGCCTGACGGACATTACGAGTTCTTAAAAATGCCGTTCGGTCTCACCAACGCTCCAGCGGTCTTTCAACGTATGATGAATGCCGTATTGGGACCGTTGCGATATGGTGTCGCCCTAGCGTACATGGACGACGTTCTTATCCCTTCCACCGACTTTAATGAGGGTCTTGCTCATCTCGAGCAGGTCTTCCAGGTTCTACGAGCTGCGAACCTTACGCTTCGTATAAGCAAATGCACCTTCATGACAGAGAAAGTCACGTATCTGGGCTTCGAGATCGGAGCGACTGGACTCAGACCCAGCGACTACAAAGTGAAGGCTCTAATTGACTTCCCAACACCGTCCCGAGTGCACGAAGTCCGACAGTTTGTTGGACTGGTCAGTTACTTCAGACGGTTTGTCAAGAATTTGGCAACTCTCGCACAGCCATTAACGAAGCTTCTAAAGAAAGACGCACCTTGGGAGTGGACCACAGAGCAGGACACCGCGTTCAGTGTCCTAAAGCTGCGCTTGCAGGAACGCCCTGTGTTGGCCCTGTACAACCATGAAGCTCCGACGGAAGTTCACACAGACGCAAGCAAAAAGGGGTTGGGGGCATGCTACTTCAACTACAGAGTGATGGCCACTTCCACCCCGTGATTTACGTAAGTCGTCAAACGTCAGAGGCTGAGGGACGTTATCATTCATACGAGCTGGAAGCACTCGCCGTGGTGTGGACGTTGGAACGACTCAGGACTTATCTTCTTGGCATCGATTTCAACGTTGTCACGGACTGCAGCGCCCTACGGGGAACGATGAGCAAACGTGAACTCATACCCCGAGTGGCACGCTGATGGTTGCGGTTGCAAGAATTCACCTTCACAGTTATTCACAGAGATTCAGCGTCTATGCAGCATGTTGATGCGTTGAGTAGGTCTCCGACTGGACCAGCGGAAAAGATGGAGGCGTGCGAAGGACTCCATATCTACGCTACAGCGATGGAAGAAACGGATGACTGGTTGGTTGCCGCGCAACTACTGGACGCCGATGTGAAACACATCAGAGAGGTTCTGGAGAAACTTGCGTCCTCGGCCGAGGAGCGCCGCATCCACTCCGAGTATAAACTCCAGAGGAATGTTGTCTTCCGAAACATTGATGGAGACTCATCAAGGCTGCTGTGGCTTGTTCCGAAACCACTGCGTTGGCAGGTTGTGCGACGTTCCCATGATGACCTG